ATTTTATAGGCGAAAAGAATATTTGAACTTGATTATCTCAAAATGTCTATTTTGTGACTAAAGTACTTTGAGGTCTTCAATTGACTTTTATCTAGAAATAATAATTTTTTATGCAGAATTTTTAATCCACAACTTTGTATTACACCTTACTTTAAAAAAGAAAGAAATAGATCAGCGGTTCTCAATCTGTGGGTCGCGACCCCTTGGAAAAAAAAAAAAGGGGGGGGGGGGGGGAGGTTCTAACGACTCTTTCACAGGAGTCGCCTAAGACCATTGGAAAAAATAGTTTACAGTTATGAAGTAGCAACCAACAAAAAAGTGTGGTTGGGGGTTGCCACAACATGAGGAACTGTATTAACGGGTCACTGCATTAGAAAGGTTGAGAACCACTGAAAAAGATAGTATTAAATAACGAGTACAAGTGTGCTTACATGACAGCTATAGGTGGTGATATTTGTACTACAGCTTGGGGTTATTACCAATCAATAAAAAAAATATCCAAAAATATTACAAGAATGGTAAAATTTATTAACTTGTTTGGACGGATATAGATAATAAATATGAGTCTTGACTAGCTACTTAGCTTAATCTGAAATAAAACACTTATTGTACTGCAATATGAATACAAACATTTTTTTTTTTAAAGTCATGTGTTAATCTAAATGTGACTTTTAGTTGTACAACAGTCAAGTTTAAAACTGGGGAGTTTCGTTTGGATATCCAATAGGCTCTGAATGAGACATCCAGGTCTTCTACATGAGACATCAAGGTCTTCATACATGAGACATCAAGGTCTTCATACTGATGTTTGCAGGTGGTCATTTTTCAAAAACCTTATCAAGGTCTTTATACTAATGTTTGCAGGTGGTAATTTTCAAAACCCTAACGATCACATGCACTCGAGCATGGTAGCTATGAAATAGTCTCTTTCCTGTAGCAAGAAGCATTTAGGATTGGACATCTTTTTAAGTACGGTACTGAATGAAACAGTTAGGGGTTCATTATTGGACTCCACTTGGTAGTCCAGGCAAGCTTTGGAGTTCCAGGGAAGATAAAGTTTTAATTTGAGGATCATGAAAATAATAGATGTAATAGAGGCCCAGGTAGTGAACCCCTTATGGAATAAGTCAAAGATGCAGCCATTTATACATTTTTTTTTACATGAAATGGTAACAAGGATTCAAGGACACAGTTTCTTTCAAAGTACAGAAGTTAATGCCATTTGAAAGTAACTAACACAATTTTAAACAGAAATATTGTTCACTATTTGAGTCCTTGTCCAAGGAATAACTCGTCTGTCTTTGGATGCTTCTGTGGGAGCTGTGGGCAGGGTTGGTAATAACAAAGTAAGAGATCTTTTACACGAGGGTCTTACTTTCCATACTTGGATAAAACTATGCCTTTAAGAGATTCCCAAAATGTTAATCATTCACTTAAATGACACACTTTGTAAACGCATTTCCAAAACACAAAAAAAAAAAAGTTAACAGCTCAATTAAAATCAATTAGTACAAAACCCTAGTTATCTTGTCATCTATGTCTTCATTTATTTTTGACTTTGTGGGATATTTTAATTTATATTTGTTTTGTAAAATTGTAATACACAATCATAAAGAAACAAAAGTTTGAGAATTTTAAGAGATGCAAGCTATTATTTTGAATTACAAGAACCGTTAACGTTTATCACAGTGACAGCTTTGACAGTCCTGTTCAACTATCTACACACCTGGAGGGAATAGATTTTTTCCTCTCAGATAAATTAAGTGTGGGATTTCATTTTATTTGAATGATCTCCTGGCTAAAAATGTACATGCAAAAAATAATAATATACTATTTGTTTTCCATGCAACATCTGTAAATTACATTCAAATCTTTGTTTTATTTACAAAAAAAGTCAAACATTTGGCACTATAGAATCCATGAATAATTAAGAGACAAACAAGTTATTTATTGTAAGCTAAAAAAAAACATTAAAAAATTGTGATGCATAGTTGTTAAGTTTGATTTTGGCAATTGACAATTATATGTTAATAGAGCAATCTGTTAAGGAAATAATCCTAGCACATTAGTATTAATGTGTTTCACAACAACAGACCACAACTTTTTGCTAGAACACTAACAAAGATGATAAAAATAAATTACAAAGACACAAAATAACATGTAAATGTACAGCATTCATTTATCTCATACAGTTAGCACTAAAGTAAGAAAAAATTGCTTTGATTATGAAAATTGGCGCCAATATCTTCATACAAGAGGATATATGATCATCTACATCAGTGATGGGCAACCTTTTTGTGCAGGGGGTGGCATGGAAATTATTATATTTTTTGCGGGCTGCATGATAATTTCAAGGGATTTACAGTTCTAGAAAATGAATTGAAAATAAGTTTGAAAATATGCAGTGGACTACTTTTTAATTTTACAATGTGATTATTAATTTTCTCAGGCTTTTACAGATAATCATTCACAATTTGTACGATTTATGGAAACATTGATCCCGTTCCCAGAAGGTCTTGCAGGCCGCATTAAACTTTTCAAAGGGCCGCATGTAACCCGCAGGTCAAAGGTTGCCCACCCCTGTTCTACATTAAGTAAATTAACATTTTTTTTACTCAATACATTGTCAGAATAAAAAAATGTACGTTTAAATAATTAAATAATTACACATAAAAAAATTATCAATTTTTTATTCTAATTTTCCTGGCTATTTCATAAGGCGAGTAATTCGAGTATTTTTAAAAAGAAAATTAAATAAGTATTCGGAAACTCTTGACATTTTTTCTTAAACAGATTTTTGGCAATATATTTTTTAATGCTAATTACAAGTTTCCTTATTAGAGAAAATAATAAATACAACAGACTTAAACATAGGTTTCTATGTTTTTTCATTTGCTTTACAGCTATTACAAACCAGAAAATATTTACTATGCCAATTGTGTGAATAGATATGGATCTTAAGTGTTCATATTGACATCCTTGGGCACTTGCATAAAAAATTGTTCATCTTAGAAAACAATATTTACAAAATATACAATCAAGAGGGCAAAAATTGATAAAAGTGCTTTGCTTGGAATGTTTTAGTGAAGAAAACTAATATCCTGTAAGAATGTACAAAATGTAAATTATAAGCTTCTCTTGTCATCTTACAAAATAATTGCAGCGTTATGGTAAATTTAAGTTAAAATTTTAGCTTTTAATTAATCTTTAGCTAAAAATTGTATCAAATTTTTAAGGACACTTGGGTTTTACTGAGTAAAGAATTCCTAAGTTGAAATTTCTTTTAAATATATAATTGATGGAAAGCAAACCAATGAACAATCTGTTATGATTTTAATTATAGTTAATCTCTACTTTTTCATAAAGAACCAGTTAAGACATCTTGGATGAGAATATTTTGGCAATTCTTTTGGCTTCTTCGGCAGATGGTGGTTGCTTGTTTTTAACTGACAAGGGAGCAGTTTTCATTTTCGTGGCAGCCATTTTTTGGACTAAATCAGAAACAGCCTTGACCCTGTTTTGAGTTCTTTGATCATCCTGTTAAAAATACAACCAAGATGCTTTTAACAAAAATGGTGTAACTAAATACATGTACTGTAGCTTTACTGTCATTAAACTAAGAAATATAGAGCTCTCCATACTGTTCAAGTCAGAGTGCTTGTTGGCATCTCAAAGATCTAATCAATTATCAATGCATTAAATGTGAAGATGTAATAAACCATTACTTTAATGAGTTGCCATTACACACATGGTAAAAATAGGTCAGAACCTAAATGTGGATGAACATAGAACAAACCTGATCCAAGTTCGAGGCAGCGGCGGTAGCCATCTTTAAAGCCCTTATGGAAGCCTGCATGTCTTCAGCTGGCATAAAGAAATTGGGAATGTCTTCGACGTCATCCACCCGAAGATTGCCATTGACGCTCTCCCTTGCTTGGTTATGCCCCTGGTTTTCCCAAGTGACATCCCCTACTGCTCTGAGAGCACCATTCATCACGAGGCTGCTTGGCCTTGTGCTGGGAACATTGCTGTGATCTCCCTCGACATAAGCTGATTCTAATGTACTGTCTCTGTCATAATGGTTGGTCCCAGAGTACACCTGCCTGACGTGAGGACCATTCATGTTAAATGCTGTGCCATTGGTTGTTTTGCTTGTTGTTGGCTTGTCCTTGTCTCCTAATGTGCTCTGAGAACCTTCATTTTCTTCTGATGCATGCATGCCAGAATGCTGTGAACTGTTATTATTGGAAAAGTTGTTATTGTTTGAAATGTTTTTCTGGCAATCTTCTCTCGACCTACTGGAATCTCTGGGAGATATGGACGTTTCAGAACTTGCATGTGAAGCTTTTGATTTGGTTGACTGCGTTGAAGCTTTTGATCGTTGGCTTTGTTGGGAACTTTTTGATTTCCCCGAAGATGCTCTGCTGCTCCCCGAGTTGGGCCTGGACGATGAGGACTTTGAGTCCAGATCAACTTTTGGTCGGGCGCCCTCACACCTGTACTGCTCTTGATGTGAATCGGCTAGCTCTAATGTGAACGGAAATTCATCCAATGTTCTTTGGTTTGATGGCAGGGAGGAGACCTCACTAAATGTGGACTGTAGTGTCTGGGTATTAGGAACAGAAGAGCCACACAGACTGGAGTGTTGAATTCGGCCTTGATTAGCCATGGAAGAACGTAAAGAGGAGTGGAGAGTTCTGCTTTGAGCAGTTGATGTAAGAGTATCGATGAGCTCCACATTGGATAAAAGACTTTTAGGAGCATTCGAAAACAACACGGGCAACTGAGATACCCTGTCCGCTTCACTTTCATCTTCTTCCCTACTATACAATCCATTTCTTGGCCCCGAGGTTTCATCATTTTGTTTGTCATTGGAACTAGTAGCCTCTCCATACTCTGCAGCAGCAAAGAAATCTCCAACACCACGTTTTTTGGTCCACATGCTTCTGGATGTCTCCTCATCACTGGAGGTCCCAAAGTTCTGCTGCCAGACAGGAGCATCTCTACCTGTGTCTCTCAGAGTGTCCTCCCCATTGTCATGTCCAGATAAATCGTGGAGTCTAAGTCTCATGTCATCCTCAAACAATTGCTCATGTTCCACAACTGGGTCTGATGAGCGCGGCTGCTCCTCATTTCCATCCAGCCTACGTCTGTCACCTGACCTGTTATCACCGTTAGGTTTGTATGTTGATTCATCAGGCTCAGAATCATCTTCCTCGTCACTCTGTCCTTCCTTGCTGTCAGCATGACCTTCCCCTTTGTTGTTAGATTTCACCCAGTCATCAAACATCTCCTTGTCCAAACCTTCAGGCTGTTCCTGCAGCCAGCTGTCCACAAGTGTGTCCATCTCCCCATCGTTTCCGATGAGATGACGATTTCTCTCATAGACATCCTGGAAGAAACTATCTTCGTTGTCATCAGAGCACCACACGCTGGTTCCATCTTGGGCGTTGACATTGGGAGAAGATGGACATGTGGCGAGTTTCTGGGCTGAGTGCACCTGCAGATGAACATCGTCATCACACTTCTCTGAGCTCTCATCTCCCTTCACTGCCCCCCTCAACTGGTCGGCCCCAGCGTCAAGGGAGAGAACTGTTGAAATGTTATTTAAGCTTTTTGGCACAATTTTAACAACATCCATGTCATCTTCATCATCACTTCCATCTGCCTCCTCTCCATCATCACCATCCTCAGCATCTAGCATATCCCTGTATTTATGATAACTGCCGTACCTCTCACTCGGCTGACCTTCTTCACCATCATCATCGTCATCATTCTCTAACTGTTCCTCAATGACATTCTGCTCCGACCTGGCTGACCCGGATCCACTTTGACTCTGACTGTGTTTAGAATAGGCCTGGCTGACTTCAGCCCTGCCTGCACCCGTGACTTGAGATTCTGCATTCATTTTCTCACCTGCTTTCAAAGAGAAACTCTCCGTCCCATTGCTTCTATGTGTTGCCGGGGTGAAGCCATGACTGTTACCTGAACTTTCAGAGTTGTCTACCACGGGTAACAAAGTCTGGGTTTTTCCAGCAGCTGCAGCCAAAAAGCCACTCTCGAGAGTTCCTATGGTTGAGGAGCTGGGAGGTAGTGTGTCATTGCATCCTGATCGAAATGTTGACATATTGTCACCCGTTGCAGCTAGACCATATCTATCACTGCGATGACTATCAGGCGCATCTTCTACAGATTTTTCTGAGAAATTTCTTGCCGAGTAAATACCAGAATCCAGCAGCTTTTTCCCATGGCCTCCCACTCTGTCCCCACTCTTCACCGAAGCTTCAGCAGCATTCTCCAGGGATGAATTGTTCAAAGTGTGACTGTGGGCTGATTCCTGAGATGCACCGACATCAAAGGAGGAACCGTCAAATCTTCCAGGAATGGTGCTCTCCCTCGTGTTTGAGAGTGATGAGACCGTGTGAATGGTGCTTAGGCCAGATTGGGTTCCAATCAGCACATCTCCAGATCTAGCACTGTCCAGAGGTTGACTAGACAGTCGGATCTTCATTTTTTGCGTCATGTTCTCCAAATCTTGCAATTGACGTCTGTGAAGAAAGATGACATATAAACATAAAACCTATTCCCAAAGTGTGTACATCTGTTTAATGCATCAAACCAATTCCCAAAGTGTGTACATCTTTTTAATGCATCTAACAGATTACCCCAAGTGTGTACATCTGTTTAATGCATCTAACAGATTACCCCAAGTGTGTACATCCTTTTAATGCATCTACCAGATTACCCCAAGTGTGTACATCTGTTTAATGCATCTAACAGATTACCCCAAGTGTGTACATCCTTTTAATGCATCTACCAGATTACCCCAAGTGTGTACATCTGTTTAATGCATCTAACAGATTACCCCAAGTGTGTACATCCTTTTAATGCATCTACCAGATTACCCCAAGTGTGTACATCTTTTTAATGCATCTACCAGATTACCCCAAGTGTGTACATCTTTTTAATGCATCTACCAGATTACCCCAAGTGTGTACATCTTTTTAATGCATCTAACAGATTACCCCAAGTGTGTACATCTTTTTAATGCATCTAACAGATTACCCCAAAGTGTGTACATCTTTTTAATGCATCAAACAGATTACCCCAAGTGTGTACATCTTTTTAATGCATCAAACCAATTCCTAAAGTGTGTACATCTTTTTAATGCATCTAACAGATTACCCCAAAGTGTGTACATCTTTTTAATGCATCAAACAGATTACCCCAAGTGTGTACATCTTTTTAATGCATCAAACCAATTCCTAAAGTGTGTACATCTTTTTAATGCATCAAACCAATTCCTAAAGTGTGTACATCTTTTTAATGCATCTAACTAACTAACGCACATATTCTGGTGAAGGTCTGAGATTACTCTCTTATGACCCCGGCTAGTAAATTGGCTATCAACTCCATCTGTTGAGCTGAGCCATACAACATGTCCCTCACAAAGGATCCTCCAACCGCCCTGGCTTCCTTTAATACATCTAACAGATTACCCCAAGTGTGTACATCTTTTTAATGCATCTAACAGATTACCCCAAGTGTGTACATCTTTTTAATGCATCTTAACAGATTACCCCAAGTGTGTACATCTTTTTAATGCATCTAACAGATTACCCCAAGTGTGTACATCTTTTTAATGCATCTAACAGATTACCCCAAGTGTGTACATCTTTTTAATGCATCTAACAGATTACCCCAAGTGTGTACATCTTTTTAATGCATCTTAACAGATTACCCCAAGTGTGTACATCTTTTTAATGCATCTAACAGATTACCCCAAGTGTGTACATCTTTTTAATACATCTAACAGATTACCCCAAGTGTGTACATCTTTTAATGCATCTAACAGATTACCCCAAGTGTGTAAATCTTTTTAATGCATCTAACAGATTACCCCAAGTGTGTACATCTTTTTAATGCATCAAACCAATTCCTAAAGTGTGTACATCTTTTTAACACATCAAACCTATTCCCAAAGTGTGTACATCTTTTTAATGCATCTAACAGATTACCCCAAGTGTGTACTTCTTTTTAATGCATCTAACAGATTACCCCAAAGTATGTACATCTTTTTAATACATCTAACAGATTACCCCAAGTGTGTACATCTTTTTAATGCATCTAACAGATTACCCCAAGTGTGTATATCTTTTTAATGCATCTAACAGATTACCCCAAGTGTGTACATCTTTTTAATGCATCAAACCAATGTGTGTTAACAAATATTTCATTTTAACAAAGAAGCAGTTTTCCTGTGTAAGATTTAGAACAGAAGTAACAAATGTAATCCTGACTTGCTGAGACTCTTTTTTTGTATCGTAATTTCTAACAATTTTCTTTCATTACTTTAATAAAGAAATATTTACTTCAGGGAAGAATCCAGGTAAGATTTTGTAGGATCATCTGCCCTGGGATCTGTCACAAATTTTGGCTGCCAGTGGAATGCTGTGTTGGTGGAAGCTGAATCTTGAACCTTTCCTTTAAAATCATGGAAGGAATTTTAAGATTAAATTATGAAGTTCATCAATGTATGAATGCAGGCATAAATACTGAGCCTTTCCTATAGAATGATTTTGCGCTCAGGTGCATGTCAGTCTTAATAAAGGTCCCTTATTAATAGACAACTAGTGAATGCATAACAATAAACTTAACACCCTGTCACACAAATTCTCATTAATTAAACATTTCAAATTTTTGAACTGTTGAGGTATTCAAATTTGTCTCCTTGATTAGCGCCACATGTAACTATGATCATTTGTCTCCTTGATTAGCGCCACATGTAACTATGATCATTTGTCTCCTTGATTAGCGCCACATGTAACTATGATCATTTTCTCCTTGATTAGCGTCACATGTAACTATGATCATTTGTCTCCTTGATTAGCGTCACATGTAACTATGATCATTTGTCTCCTTGATTAGCGCCACATGTAACTATGATCATTTTCTCCTTGATTAGCGTCACATGTAACTATGATCATTTGTCTCCTTGATTAGCGTCACATGTAACTATGATCATTTTCTCCTTGATTAGCGTCACATGTAACTATAATCATTTCTCCTTGATTAGCGTCACATGTAACTATGATCATTGTCTCCTTGATTAGCGTCACATGTAACTATGATCATTGTCTCCTTGATTAGCGTCACATGTAACTATGATCATTTGTCTCCTTGATTAGTATCACATGTAACTATGATCATTTTCATTTGTGTTGCTCATTAACTATGATCATCTTGATCTCGTTTTGTTATTAGCCTTTTAGTTAACAGCAGGAAAATATATCAGAGTATTGCATAATCTCAGTAAATACCTTCAGCTGGGTTGAGTTCATGAGATACGTTACTGTGACCATCAGAGGCGGCCTGGGCAGTGAGAGAGCCCATTCTCTGTAATACCTGCTGCTGGAGACTCATAAGCTGGTGGGCAATGCCAGAGGCAACATCTCTTGTTGTGGTGCCCACGTTTGAAAAGCTGAAACTGGGCAGCTGATGAAACAGACAAGGGCTACAGATCAAATTTAAATCTAACATCCACAGAATATATTACATTTTAACTAAAGCTATGGTTTTATTATGACAACTGGAAATTTCTTGTTAAAATTATGGACATTTGTCTCCCTGGAAGACATCACCGACCCATACATTGGTAATGATGGGGTTAGAATCTAACATTCCATTGTAGTTTAACAATTGTATGTCTGGCCATGTCTAATACTCAGTTCACAAGATCCAATTCTTGTCAAATTTTCATTCATACATTTCATGCAATTTTTGTTTGAAGACTTGTCACAACTTTCAATTTTGAACAAAATGTCAAATAAGAAAACACACACAAAATAGTGCATATATACAAAAATTTTATGCAAATTTAAAGCAATTATCAAGTACCGGTATCAGAAAACAGATACAAACAAAATGTTAGAACTGACCATAAAACTTGAGCCAGGCCCACTTGATGGTAGATCCTGCGGTGTCACGCTGACCTGCCAGATGAACAGAGATGACATGATAATCTCAACAGACATAACATCGGGCTTCTCATGGAATCAAACAATGTTATCTATTTACCTAATAAACAAAGAGTACTGTCCCTTATGAAAATAACTGTAATAAACTATACAAATATTAAGCAACAGCCAAATCTTTATCAGTTCAGCCATTTAGTAAATTACAATTAATCTCAGCTTATCTGTTGAAAATTGGTACTTATTGCTGCATTAACTATGTCAAGGGGACCATGAACTAAAATTGTGTTCAACTTGTCTTCTTAACCAGGCACTCTTCAACTATATTACCTTGACCTGTCCCCTGCACTGGCCGTTGAAATCCATAATATTGTACCAGCCACATATCTGTCGTAAACCTTTCACAAGTGAAGTCAAATCAACAGACACAAAGCCAAGTACACGATCACTTGCCTTGTCTGTAAACAGAATCATATAATCAGCCTAGAAATGGTGCATTCCTTTACAAATATTGAAGAATAATAGCTATATTATTAGCACCATTGTAGGCAATGACAAAAGACAGATTGGAGGTGGGGTGTTAGTCTTAAGATAGCATTTAGAAAAATAATTTTGCCGAAGCTTCTGCATAAAATGGTACAAGAATTTGGTTTTTATCTTTTATGATATAAAAATTAGGAGTCATTAAAATAAAACTAACTGGAAACAGAGGTGAGACACGTACCTGGTATCTTGGAAGCATCTGATGGTTTGTGCCAGACTTTCAGCACAAGATTCTAGAGTGGTCAAACAAAGAATCAAGGAAAGATTTTTTTCAAAAGCAAATATACTGAGTCACAGAATTGTAATAGACAACTGGTGAATGCATAACAATAAACATAACATCCTGTCACACAAACTCGGTAATAGACAACTGGTGAATGCACAACAATAAACATAACATCCTGTCACACAAACCAGGTAGACAAATGTTAACAAGGTATGTTCAAATCTGAACATTACTAACTTGGGTAATAGATGACAGTAGGATGAAAAGCTGGTAAGTAGTTTTCCTAAGTGTCCATACAAGACTGTTTAACTGGGCTGAAATCTGAAATGTCCACCCGTTGAGCTCACCTTATTTTCCTTATACAAGTAGTCGGTGCTGAGTCTGGTCTCCGCAGCATAGTCCCAGACTGGATTGGTCGAGTTGGGAAAGATGGCGCTGCACGTCGGCTTAGATCTCTCAACACTCTGATAGGACACGTACGTCGTCGGACAAATCTCACCCGATCTACAAACGGCAGAGAATAATAAAAAATAAAGAATGCTCAGGCGCATGTCAGTCTTAGTAATTAAAATTATTATTGTAGCAATGGCCCAATAATAAAATCAAAATATGACAAATACTTCTCCATCTCTGATTTGAAGCTTTATGTTACTTGACATTTTGAAGCGAACATGAAAGAGTATGACAGCAGCTATTTAAAAAATTGTACCAATGTTAACTCCCTCACTTATTTAAAAAATTGTACCAATGTTAACCCACGAACTGTGGTCGGCCGATCGTTCTGTACTGTGGTGGCCGATAAAAAACAAGGTCCGAAAGCAACTTCCAATCCAACATTTAACCGGAATTATAGCCACGTCCTTTTATTAATAATTAAATCATCTTCCCGTTCAAGCTGTTTGGTGATAACTTGAAAATAAATACTTTTTAATGGGAGTTTTATAACGCTGTTTTTTTTAAAGTTAAAATGGTTGAAGCCATGGCCGGGGTCATTCAGTGCAAGAACTAATAGAAATATGTTTGAAAGCTTTTTAGGAGAGGTTTTAAGTGATTACTGATGATGATTTTAACATTCTCCTTGACGATATCAGTTGAGATTATTGTTCTCCTGAATTTTATACTAGTCTTAGTGATACTGAAGTAGGCCTACTGAGGCTACTGTTAGACTTCGAGCCAGGCCTAGAGGCTGGGTAAGGACTGACTGAATTTTAGTCATGGAAGCTACAGATTATAGTTCAGAACTAAACAATTTTATACTTAAACAACCCAAATCAGTTCCACGGTTCCTTTTTAAATGTTTACTAGTCATTAATAACTATTTTGCCTGAGATTTTGTATGTTGTACTTGGTTTTAGCTGTGGTCCCAGTTTCTTATTTTTTTCAGTAATAAATGACCTACAATTACTAAAATTGCTTTCAGAGGCTTAATTGTAATCAAAACCTTTGCAAACTATACATTTTCTTAAAAACAAATGAATTGGCTACAACATTTAGACTTGTGTTTTAAGTGTATCTATAAAAATTAATGATGCTATGAGCACTTGAAAGCAAGACATTTTGTTGATTTTCTTTTTCTTGAGAACTCCAAGGTCAAGGACACTGAGCAAAATTTTTTTTATGGGGTGGGCAATATGGTCAACTTTATCCCCGTCCATTTAGCTTTCTAAAAATATATACTTCTAGGGGTCTTGTATTAATATTTCTGTCATTTAATGCAATTTCAAATGGCACTCGAAACGCTCTGAAAAAGCTCCACACCACAGAATGATGCATGCCACAGTTTGTGGGTTAACTCCCTCACCTATTTAAACGATTGTACCAATGTTAACTTCCTCACCTATTTTAACAGTTGTACCAATGTAAACTTCCTCACCTATTTTAACAGTTGTACCAATGTTAACTTCCTCACCTATTTTAACAGTTGTACCAATGTTAACTCCCTCACCTATTTTTATCAGTAACCAAAGGTAAGTGCATGGCCCTCTCAACTGCCAACAAAACACCGAAACTGGACACAGGATCTTTGGCGTCATGCCCTCTTCGTCCTTTCTTCGGAGACTTGTCTATGGTGAACTCCCCTATCCAGTCACGTCCACCGTCTGACTGATCCATTTCAGATGTTGACTCGGACACATCTAAACTGTTGCTCGTCTTGTTCGTCTCAGATTCCTGGAGTTTAAAATTTAAAAAAAAATAGATTTTAAGAGTTATTTAAAGATTATGTCACAAATAAAAGTAATTACAATGCTTTTGACATGGAGATTTGAAGTTTTGAAAATCAATTCTTTATGTCTTTTTTGGTTGAAACCCAAATTTTCTGAATAAAAGTTAGGACAGTTGGATAACAAGCTGGTAAGTAGTTGATAAAAGAATTTAAAAACAATTATAAATTATTGATTTTAAAAATAAAATCTACAAGCAAGCAAACCTAAAGTGGTGGCCATCCAGCAACAATCAGACATACCACTGACCAAACAGGGCCATCCAGCAACATTCAGACATGCCAGTCACCTAACGGGGCCACCCAACAACAATCAGACATACCAGTGACCAAATAGGATGTTAGAGCACGGCAGAAGAGCCTTATAGAAAACTGTTGTTTGGCTAGTGGGGGCACAGCATTAAGGCTAGAAAGGTGTAAGCTAAGATGGTGAGATCAGACAACATTCCTCTGCTGGGAACTAAAACAGCAAATGGTGTCCCTGATGAGAATGGAACATTGTCCAGTAGCCAGTCAGTTTAACTTGACTCACAGAAACAGAGACAAAAAAATTAAACAATATACTGACATTGCTCCCATGCAACAGAAATGGTAACTCATATGCTGACCAAGTACCCCAAACTGGAGACAAGAGGGGGTTGCCTTACATTATGTGGATGTCATATGACATTGCTCCCATGCAACAGAAATGGTAACTCATATGCTGACCAAGTACCCCAATCTGGAGACAAGAGGGGGTTGCCTTACATTATGTGGATGTCATATGGCACAGTTCAGCAGATGTGGCTAGCTGCCAGGACCATAAGGAACAATGCACTTTGCCTCTTCAAGAAAAATTTATAAAAACAAGAGCAGGGGATCAAACAACTAGAGCAGAGATTCCTTTAATTTACTGAGAAAAGATTCCCCCGGATTCTTTTATACGTCGTTCTAAAACGTCAACCGATCAAATGATATAGCACTTAAGTGAGTGTTTATTTTTAGACTGTTCAGTCCACAGTTATAGCTTACCACTTCCCTGGCGCTGCCGCTGACCCTGGCGGTCATGTGAGCTCTAATGAAAGCCGACTTCAAGTTGTTGGACCCCGGCTTAAACAAGGGGAACAATCCACTGCAGATGTACATTGGAAACCATAATAAGAACCCAAATATTAGCACTGGGATGAGTTAGTTACAAGAATAATGGGATGCCAGTTTTTAACAGATTGTAATCATCAGGTACATAAAAATATTAATACATTTGACAAAAAACCCACTAGAGAAAAAGTGGTCTTAAATGAAATAAGCTTTCAATGTGAATTTAATAACATATCTGGTAAAAACACATATATAATTGATGTAATGAAAAGTCAGTTAAACTGTGCACCTAATTCTCTGCTGTCCTCGTCTCATATCAGTTAATGACTCCATGTCCAGGTAACAGCTTCCAATAAGCTTATCTCTTTGCCTCGGCTTTTTATCTCCCTCCTGCCCTCTCCCGTAGGTCACCCACGTCTGAACCTCCAGCCTCTCTTCTCTCAGATACCTGCGGAAAAAATCAGATATTAACCTTAAATTACATTAAAAAATGGTCACCAGAGTAATAAGCAGGTTGGTCAAAATTTCTTTGATATTGTAAATAATATACCTGATTGTTTACAAGGTATAAGTACCCTTACCAATGAGCCCACAAAGTGCCTAATAGTGCTGTATGAGACAACCTAATAATAACTCACCACTGTAGTGGTGCTGTATGAGACAACGTAAAAGTCTGCTTGTGGCCCAGTGAACAGAGAAGGTTCCCTGTATCTGACACGTGTAACTTCCTGCTCTTTGACACAACGGCCCCTGGAAACATGGTAATGTTAGTCAGCAAACAAAGAACCATTGACCATACATACACAGAGATCTTTCTCATTGCACTGAAGCATTCAATTTGTTTAAATTTTGATAATAAATACACATTACAATAAGTAACATTTTCAACATAATTTAAGAAAACGTAGATTAAATACATTAAGAATGAATTTGTTTTTAATTAATTGGACTCGTTGAAATGAAAACCGACCTTTGTCATAGAACTTGTACCTCACGTAACATCTGACGGATGGATCCACTACTGTATGGCCGGTAATTAATGCACTGGTCATAGGGAATGAGACCTGGTCGACGCTAACAGTTATGGTGTGTATATTATGGTGGCTATCTGTGGACATCAAAGTTTCATGACACATTTAAAAGTCATGACTTAACCACCAACCCCCCCAAAACAAAATCATTATGTCACGGCCTACATGGTGATGTTTCAAAGTCATGACTTAACCACCAACCCCCCCAAAACAAAATCATTATGTAATGGCCTACATTGTGATGTTTCATTAACAGCATTTGTGGGAATAACAAAATAGCTCAGAGGCATTCATGATTCCATTGGTGTTGGTCAAACTGGTTCATCTGATTTAATATGATTTAAACTTTTTTTAAAAGGAACTCCTGTCTTGCATATCCACAATAGATATAACAAGAGGTGAAGAATAAGATGTGATTAAACTCTTCCTTTACAAAGTGTATTTTGTCAGTTGAAAAATGTTGCAGATTTTCATTACAGGGGGGGAGAGAGAGAGAGAGAGGTGTGTGTGTTTAGGGAGCCGCACATGGACTTTTAACAGAATCATTATTTTTATTATTAGGATCTCCTACTGGCTGATTGTCTTACCTTCATCTTGCCAGTCAGTCTGTTCCACATCAAGATCAATAGGTGACCAGCCCACGGCTTTGCCTGCACTGATCACTCTATCTCTATCATCTTGGTGTGCAAATCTCACGGATAATTCAAGGCCTCCGGCAACCTTACAAATGAAAAACCACAAAATGATGCAATTAAAATTAAAGGCATTGTTACAAAGGTTTATGTTAGCCCAATCAAACCTTACAAATTCAATATAAATATCATTGAAACTTAGTCATTTTGTTAAATGTTAAGGAATAAGAGTCAATTTACTAGTGAACCAGGATGTATATTTCTTAATTCAATAAACTGTTTTTCTATTTTGTTACCTGGTCTAATGCAGTAGTGGGATGTCCATCTACATCTACAGGCTTGGCCCAGCCCAGTGATGGCAAATTGATGGGGAACCATCCATTGACACCTACATACAAAGACAAACAGATAATGTATTCAGCAATTAAATAGTTCTTAGACTCGTTATTGTACTATAAAAGAAGACTTAAAACATCCAAAGTAATGACTTGTGTGTAAAGAATGGACTAAGTTATCTCGGATCCAACCATAGAAAAACTTAACATTGAGAAGAATGCAACAGAGGATGCACTGGTCTAAATGTGAATACAAGCATAGGGGGCACTAGTCTAAATGTGAATACATGCATGGTGGCACTGGTCTAAATATGAATATAAGCTGAGGAGGCACTGATCTAAATGTGAATACAAGCAGAGGGGGCTCAGGTCTAATTGTGAATACATACAAAACAAAATTTGCCTTTCACAATATAAGAGTTAAGAGTTTTGAGATAATCATCAGAATATAATCAAATATACAACAGCTGTAAAAGTAAAAGCCACCCTTGCCATAAACAGCCACCCTTGCCATTGAAAGCCACCCTTGCCATTGAAAGCCACCCTGAAATTGAAAGCCACACTTGCCATTAAAAGCAACCCTTACCATTAAAAGCCACCCTTGCCATTGAAAGCCACCCTTGCCATTGAAAGCCACCCTTGCCATTGAAAGCCACCCTTGCCATTGAAAGCAACCCTTGCCATTGAAAGCAACCCTTGCCATTGAAAGCCACCCTTGCCCTTAAATAAATGACTTAGCACTATTTATAATGTTAACAGTTTATTGTAAACAAATGCTGCTGAACACAATGTCCACCACTGCACTATGGCTAACCTGTTCGCCTGATGAGCAGAGAATTGAGTGGCACAATGCAAGTCCCTAGCAGCACATCTCCTGTTTGATGAGCCAACTTTCTAACAGCTACTCCACTTGTGCTCTTGTCAACCAGGAAATCTGTTCATGGGAATCATTGTTGAAGCTTCATGAGTTCCCTTCATTAAACTATAAGTGTATTTTAATGTCTAAACAAATAAGTGGTGTTTCAATTTATAACATAAGACACCACAATTTTTTTAATCATGGAAAAATCACAGAAACTTTTTTATTTATTTCCTCCACCACACACACAGACATACACTAAATAGAAATTCATTTGTTGCATGCAGGACTGTAATAACACCCCCCCTCCCCCCACACGCAGACACACACGCAACAATGTCATGGACAATACATGAATACTTGAGTTGAGCTTATGTAATCTAGGAAATAATGCACAGTAACCAGTATTTTAAAAAATGTTAAAAATAAAAATAAATTACTGCATGACTGATGGTTCACCTTTATGAAGGCCGGAAGGTATCTGATGCCAGACCTCAAAGACAACTTCTGCCGACTCCAGGAGCTCAGCCAGGCTGGTGGCGTCAATTGAACTAATATCAGACATCAGCAACGGGCAGGGGAAGTCCATGTAGTGAGAATATTCTGGAGTAAAAGTTCTGGCCACTGTCTTGGTTATCCTTTCATGCTGGAAGTAAGATAAGTGGTGAAACAATAACTAATTACTGAATGTACGATGAGTGGTGAAATCAAATCTAATGTTTAATGTAAGATAAGTAGTGAAATAAAAACTAATGACTGAATGTAAGATGAGTGGTGAAACCAAAACTAATGAATGAATGTAAGATAAGTGGTGAAACCAAAACTAATTGAATGAATGTAAGATAAGTGGTGAAACCAAAACTAATTGAATGAATGTAAGATAAGTGGTGAAACCAAAACTAATGACTGAATGTAAGATAAGTAGTGAGATCAAAACGAATGACTGAATAAAAGACATTTATTATACTATGACAAAACCTGCACATTTTATTTAATTACAGGCAGAATTGTTTTATAATTGCAATGCTTATGTGTTGAGTAAATTTTTGTTTAAATTATATAAAAAAAAGAGATAATTGGTTAATATTAGTCATCAATAAATCATGCTCATATTTTAAGAGCCCAGATGTCTCACCTCGTTCCCTAAGAAAGAGATTTTAATCCTGACATAACTGTTGACTCCTACATCAGCTGGGTAGGCCATGGAAGAATCTAACTGAGCCATGTAGTCAGCAGCAGCCTTGGAGAGTAGAAGAATAATTAGCCTCAACATAGAACAATAATTAGCCTCAACATAGAACAATGATTAGCCTCAACATATAACAGATGATTAGCCTCAACATAGAACAATGATTAGCCTCAACATAGAACAATGATTGGCCTCAACATTGGGGATGGCGTTGATGTCTGAAACCTTAACAAGCTGGTTGTGTAATTTTATGGCACATTCTTCAGATCATTATTTTCATTTCATAAAGATTAATTAGACACAAACAATTTGCGTCAATAAAACAATAAAATTTCAGCTTTAAAAATGATCGTACAGAACACAGATGTTAACGTTTTGGCAAATGCCTTCATCAGCACCAACAAACAAACATATTTTCATTTAAGTATCTACCTAAAAATGAGAGAAAAGAATAAGAGTGGACCCAAACCCCTGACAAAAACAAAGTTCAGAAGAATGGAAAGGAAGGGAGTGGAAGTAAAGTTTTAAAACCAAACAGGAAGAATGGAAAGGAAGTGAGTGGAAGTAAAATTTTAAAACCAAACAGGAAAAAAGACATGGCAATTATGTAAAATTCTGAATTTGGTTTGAACAGTATGGAGTCAACGTACCAAATCTTGTTTTAAATTTATTCTCCATATAAATTCTATCCGGTCTATATTCACATATAATATACCAGAAACTGCAATGTCTAATATTCCATTATGGTTAGCATTATTGAAATGTTGAAAGCTCTATCACAGTCCAACACTCTTATACTTAATATATTGTTAATTTCATTTCATACAACATGCTAAAAATATCAGTTGATGTTAATAGTTGTAGACTTATTTCAAAACAGTATAAGAATGAGTTGTGAATACTAAAAGCTTTGTGGTGCAATTGGTTACCTTAAGTCCTGCGGCTTTGACAACACCTAGAGATAAGCAAACTTGGGAGCCATCAAAGTTTTTATTGACAGCCATCTTGGCAGATTCAGACTGATGAAAACATTTAGAATTATGGTTTAACTTGGATTTTATTATTATGTACTTATTCATTAACCTTCAGTCTGGCGCGTTTGATCAGATCGATACAAGCCAACCGTTTTTGTTTCACACACGTTAGTGAGAGATGACAGCGAGCTCTGCTTATCAGTAGCTCTATGTTTTCATTTCCTTTGTAGGCCAAGGCCATTCAGTGTGCAGAAAACGTTTTTAGAGTGTAGATTTTCGCCATTTTGTTCAAATTGATACACCGCACCTTTGCACATTACTTTTTTGAAGTTTGACAATTCTTTTTTTTTTTTTTCTCTGGGAAATTACTTTTTCATATTTGTATACATACCGATACATAAATTTATTCTTAATTTTTAAAAATCTTATTGAAACATTACGCCAAAATGAGATATCTATACAATTTTTGCCATTTTGTTCAAATTGATTCACCGCACCTTTGTATATTACTTTTTTTAAGTTTGACAATTCTTTTTTTTTTTTTTCTCTGGGAAATTACTTTTTCATATTAGTATACATACCGATACATAAATTTATTCTTAATTTGTAAAAATCGTATTGAAACATTACGCCAAAATGAGATATCTATACAGATCCTTATATACTTCAGGTTACTTCTGCTGTGTAGCATGGCGGGTGTTAGGAAAATGTTTGATTTTAATAATCTCAAGGGTATCGAGGAAATTTTAAAAAATAATTATTGGGGATGAATTTTACATTTTTTGCTGGTTAAATTATTGAAAAAAGTAAATTGTGTGACAAAATTTCAATAAAATAAACTAATTTAACCAGTCACTCATAAGCGATAGCAAATTGATAGTCTGCGCCTGGTCTCGTTGTAAAAAGAGCACGCCCGCCGGAAGGTTAAGTTATTAAACAACTTTAATTTTTAAATATGGCAAAGATTTTTGAATCAACATATAATTTTTAACCAACTAACAATAAATGATATCCGATGTTCTATTTTGTAACAGCATACCTGGGCAGGAAGGGCTTTGTAGTTCACTGTCAGGTCTAGTACACCAACAGATTTGCTCTAAAAAATGACAAAAGTAACATTAATCCATGATTTAGTGGTTACATTTTCTCTCCTGGTCAATGTAGCCAACCTAACCAATGTAGTCAGCTTATAATAAATGATAGATGTGTCATGTTGCTTTCAATGTGTCTAATAATTTTTTTTAAATTTAAAATTAGCAATCGCTGATTATTTGAGCAATAAAGCTGGTTACAATACTTGCTACTCCACTTCTTGCTTTCTTCAACACCAAAGCCACTGATAAAAACTGCATCTAATTGCTAATTGTTAAAATAAGCTTTGTTTAAAATATGAGTCCTACGAACAGAACAGAAAATACTGAAGACTAAAATGAAATACAAATTTGGTGGAAGGGTGGGTTGTTAAATACAAATTTGGTGGAAGGCTGGGTTGTTAAATACAAATTTGGTGGAAGGGTGGGTTGTTAAATACAAATTTGGTGGAAGGATGGGTTGTTAAATACAAATTTGGTGGAAGGATGGGTTGTTAAATACAAATTTGGTGGAAGGGTGGGTTGTTAAATACAAATTTGGTGGAAGGATGGGTTGTTAAATACAAATTTGGTGGAAGGATGGGTTGTTAAATACAAATTTGGTGGAAGGATGGGTTGTTAAATACAAATTTGGTGGAAGGGTGGGTTGTTAAATACAAATTTGGTGGAAGGATGGGTTGTTAAATACAAATTTGGTGGAAGGATGGGTTGTTAAATACAAATTTGGTGGAAGGATGGGTTGTTAAATACAAATTTGGTGGAAGGGTGGGTTGTTAAATACAAATTTGGTGGAAGGATGGGTTGTTAAATACAAATTTGGTGGAAGGATGGGTTGTTAAATACAAATTTGGTGGAAGGATGGGTTGTTAAATACAAATTTGTCTCCAAAACCCAGACCCCAAACCCTAAGATATTTCTAGCAATGACACAAGTTGACCTTTTAACATTTCAAATCTAGTTGACCAATCTCATGATCATTTGATAGTTAGCTTACTTTAGCAGCAGCTTCCGTGTCTTCCTGGTGGCCATCAACACCAACTGGTGTCAGCCTTAGTGAAAAAGATTGGATGCAGGGTTCTCCCCTCTTGTGCATTGTTATCATTGCACAGACCTTGGCCAGTGGCAGTGCACTCTAAGGAATAGGAAAATTGAAGTCTCGGTAATGAGTTCCTGCTACATAGCTTTCTTTAAATTACAATTTACTTACAAAAATTAAAAATTTTAAGATAAAATATTTTCTGCAGACAAACCTTTGCAATGAGCTGATCTCTAACATTAGGATGATAGTAGCGACACCATACTTCAAATGGAAGACCACTCACACCACCACCAGAATTGGCACATGCTAATGAATTCAAAATGAGATAAATGTGTAAGGATACTTTGACTTAAAAGCTTGTTGAATTTCATTTTTTTTTTGTTTCACTACCATAGTCTAGTCTACCATAGTCTGCCATAGTCTACCATAGTTAGCTTTGAAGTGAGCTTTATTATGTGAGTAATTTGGCTTACTGAGAAAAATGAATCTCAAACTTTGCGCCACTAAAGTTAGAGCTAATGTTATCAAATTTTATCACGTATATTCTTACCTGTAAGCAGCTCTCTCTGGACCGGAGTCCCAAATGGTAGGGTGAGCTTGTGCCTGGACGAGTCATGGAACGTTGGATCAGGAATGCACAGTGTTGTAGCAGTGCGAAAACATTTCATTGTTGGAATAGCTGTGGTCACAAAATTTTGGAGAGTTCATTTTACCTATACTACACAAAACAGCTTTTATTTCCAAGTATATAACAATGATACAACATAAGTGAGTTTAACCTTAACAATGACACAACATAAGTGATTTCAACCAAAACAATGCTACAAACTACTCACATTTAACTGAGGCCATGCCGTCATCTCTGCCGTCACTCTCAGCAGGAAAGAAAAACTGAACAAAACAATCAGCTTCTCCCCACATCATGTTTTCAAATAATTTCAGCTCCCTGACGCCTTCAATGATGATCTCAAACTGATGATCAACTGTATTTTATGACAGCCAATACAAATCAATAATCAATATTAGCAGGTTAGTCAATCAATATCTCATGAACTGACTTGTAATAAATGTATTTTAGTTATTTTGCCTGGTGATAACTGTTTCAATTTAAGGCTACTTATTTTTCCCAGTGATAACTGTATATATTTAAGGCCATTTCCTAGCTCTACTTTAAAGCTTACAATCATTTAAGTACTTCTAAGCTTGTATATCAGAAAAAAATAAAAAATTTCTGTAAAATTTTGAGGATGTCATCTTATAGTTTAGATATATTGTCTATTCCACTGCTCAAAACTTTATTTTTAAAGACAATGTATTAAACATTCCCCAGAAATATCACAGGATGACAGAGCCACTAACAAGAGGTGACATCGTCAAGAAAAATCATTTCTATTATCAATATTGAGATTTAAACTTTTTTTTTCATTGTTGAACATTAAAGGGAATAGCGGAACAAGTCATGCGGAACAAGTCATGCGGAACAAGTCATGTGGAACAAGTCATGTGGAACAAGTCATGTGGAACAAGTCATGTGGAACAAGTCATGTGGAAGCTTGAATGAAAAGACAGGACAAAAAATAGGGATGTTTTGGCTCAGAGCCTTCTTCAGCGGACAGGACAACTGAAAATTCGACCAAAAAAAAGGAACTAGTTAAAAACTCAAGTGGTCGCCATTGTTATTGCCGGAGTTGCATTTTTCAAAACAAAGATTACAGGAACTGAAAGAATTAGTGTAAAAAATAGGATCTTAACGAAAAAAAATTGAATATTTATCAAATATAAGAAAAAAAATACAGGGAAATTGAATATCATTAGTAGAGTATTTGGTTAATTCTATATGTGATATTGCACTTAATTAATTTGTTTTCCCTTCTAACCCTCTCTGGTGTGTTGGTACAGGAAATCAGTGCTGTGATGGATACTTCTAATGTCCCTTTATGTTTATCTCCGTTGAAATAGGATGAGATCGGGGGGAAAGTTTACCCTGTTCAATATCATATCACAAAGATGTTCAGTCAACCTATCTGGTGATCTTCACAAAGATGTTCAGTCAACCTATCTGGTGATCTTCACAAAGATGTTCAGTCAACCTATCTGGTGATCTTCTATCACTTTCACCTGTATAACAGGAGCCGCATTTACGTCACACAATTGCATATTTGAAGCCCTCTTTGATGGTAAACAGTGCGGCTTCTTCACATTTTTCTTCATGGGGATCCTTCTCATTTCAATGGCCTTTATGGGTTTATAATTATTCTGGGAAATGTGGAATGCCTCAAACAAACATACCAGCTTTTCCTGACATTGGAGATGCTCCATTCATTAAGTCTTGTCTTTCAAGATATGCTGATGGCTTCTGTGGGACAGTCTCCGTACCAGAGAAGTCAAGGGCTAATCTCTGCAATGTCGCAATCTAACGGGAAAGATTTTAATATCTTAACTAATTTATCAAGAAAGGTTGAGCCAGAAACTTGATTTAAATAAGTTGTCTTCGGAGAACAAATCTCAAAGGGTTTTGTTAACTTTTTAAAACTTTCTTAAACTATTTATTTTATTTGACCTAAAGTAGCCAAGAAAAACTCTTGCGAACTTTGAAATAAGAAATCTTGACAAAATTAAGTGATCTCGATAGAAAAAACACTAATCTATTTCTTGAGATTCCTCCCTGGATCAAGAAACATGCAGTTTTATTGTTAATTTTGTTTTATTTACCTGTGGCTCAGAACCCATTGCTAACACTACTTTGAGCTGTCCAAAGTGTAGTCCTGAGAAAGGGTCCACAATCGGCATGTAGTTATCTATAGCCAACACTGGATACTGGAGTAATAGAAGGAGAGAAATATTCACCGGCATGTAGTTATCTATAGCAACACTGGGTACTCCAGTAATAAAAGGAGAAAAACATAAACAAACTATTTCATTATATAATGTTATGTGTCTTAAAAATCATTGTAATGAAAGTTCAAAGTCATACATAGGCAATGGATGTTTGGTAATAGTAATGTTCAATATTGATATCACAATGCCCATAGAACATGGCTGGATTGGCTCATTTGGAACTTAGGGGGATTGGCTCATTTGGAACTAAGGGGGATTGGCTCATTTGGAACTTAGGGGGATTGGCTCATTTGGAACTTAGGGGGATTGGCTCATTTGGAACTTAGGGGGATTGGCTCATTTGGAACTTAGGAGGATTGGTTCATTTGGAACTTAGGGGGATTGGCTCATTTGGAACTTAGGGGGATTGGCTCATTTGGAACTTAGGGGGATTGGCTCATTTGGAACTTAGGTTGTTTTTTTTAAATAAAAAAAGTACAACCTATAAATAGTTAAATCTTACCTCAGATTTGAGAAGAGCATTAGCAATCTTTCTTTCTCTGAATGACAAGTAGAACTGGTGAAGACTTAATTTAACCATCCCGATCAGCTGATGAAAAAAAATGAAGTGATGAGAGGACAATGTATGCACGAGTTACACTTTCAGACCTTTTTCAAGTTTTATGTAAGCTAAAAATGAGCCTGACCAGGTAGGATCAAGAATTCAATGGCAATGGTTACCTTGTCATTCTCAGATCCCACTTTCTTGTCCCACACCTCAATGATCATGTAGTTGTCTCTGAGTCTCTCCAGGAGCTGTGATGTCATCAACACTGGAGCTACCTGTCAAAAGTGCAGTATTTTTGCCATGAAAAGAAGCAGAAACCAAATCTAGATACTTCAAGTGCAACATAAAATCCTCATAAGAGTACACAAATTTCATTCACTGTTATGATCTGAAACTGAAAACTATTCAGACTGCTGATATGAAGCCATAAACAATTTTACTAGTACATACTATGAGAATTTTAGAGGCATGGGATATTTTAAAGTAAATTTTTTTTTTTTAGTCAGAACATCTTTTTAAACTGTTGAATACCTGGAGAAAGTTGAATTCTGGATCCAGTGTTCCCCAGCAGACGTTGGAGTGGACGGATTCATTAGACCAGAACATCCTACAAACAAGATAAGTGTTGCGAACCACAGAATCCCTTCCTGTTCAAACACACAAAAGCAAATGAAATAAGTTTACATGCTGCCAGTTAGGTTCAAGAGAACCAAAAAAGTAATGACCTGCAAAAAGACCTTGTCACATTTAGTTAGAGGATAATAAATGAAGGGCTACCTTCAAGTTATGTGAATGAAGTAGCAGAACAAGGTATGCGGAAGCTTGCAATAGAAAGACAGATTATTGTCCAGTCATTCTATTTCAAGCTTCCACATACCTTGTTCTGTTATTATATTTAGTTATACAATATCAACATTCCAATACTGGACTGACAAGTTGAAATCTTTTTATATGAAATTAAATTAGCTTAATTTAGAAAGAAAGGCTAAAACCGAGGACGGCTGCCACGGCGGCTTTTGTGTCTTTATTATAGTTGCAGTGAATTAAGGTTCAGGTTAGGCATAGGGATCAATTTAGGGATAAATTCGTGAAATTCGATAAAAAAAAGTGGCAGGCGTCCCCGTTTTTAACCGAAAGAAAAAGTAATATTAAATAAATAACAATTGTTTTGTTGTAAATGAATAGAATTTATTGTTTACACATAGAAGCAAGATAAGTTACAACATTTTAAGTTTTGATATGCATTAATTTATGTTATGAAGATGTAGTTAGAAAAACATATTCTGACACTAAAGAAGCTGACTAAAAATCTGTCTCACTGAGGAGAATATTGAATCTGTTGAGATGAGATCTTAATTATTCAATACTAAGTAACAGCATGCAATATTTATAGTGATTTTTGTACCTGAGCCTGTCTGCCCAATATAAGACATTGACTGACCTTCTGGCTGTGCTTTCAGCAAGCCAGGCTGTTTGTTGGCCATGTGAAGTGGGGGTACACCTGTGATGGAAATCTTTCTACCTTCTTGAATAAACAGCAGTGTGTGGAGAGTCAAAGCCTAAATGAGGAGACAAAAGATTCTATTGGCTAAAGCTATAATAAAAATGGAATTATATTTGTTAAAAAAACTTTACTGAAACTGAAAAGTTAGAGATTTTAAAAAATCACTACCAATATGCTTTAATGATAAAATGACAGTGAGGTCAAGTCTGGGTCAACATACCCCTGACAGTTGGTGACCCCCAAATACTTGGGCACCCGAGTCCAAGGGAGAAGCGCCTGTATGACTCTGCTGAGGGTTTGTCTTGGCCAGCACCGCAATGGTTGCCTTGAGCGGCTGTTTCAGTCTGGAGATTTCATCACCCTCATCCTCAGCTGAAACTTTCCTGCGTGGGGACTGGGGTGGGAGACCGGTGACACTGACACCAGCTGGCTGGTAGGATGTCATGGGGAAATCTGTAATCAAATGTTGAATCAAATCATCATGACCCTGTTCATAATCAAATATTGAATCAAATCATTATGACCCTGTTCATAATCAAATAGTCTGTTGTAATTAGGTGAACGTTCGCTTACTGTCTTCAATATTTGGATCTTATTATATTTTTTTTCTTTTGGCAGTTATAATTTAATTGGTAAAACTGCAATTATTTCTGCATAGACGGTTGACTTTTAACCACAGAAAAGCTTGACAGCTGACTTGCCAACTTTGATGGTTAAGGTGTATCAAAAAGCCTTTACCAAGAGCGTAAAAAATTGTACATAGCTGCCATAATGGGCTAGCCAGTCCATGCCACCAAATTATTACCCACAGTGTGTGGGGCCAGGTAACAATTCAATCCCACTACATTTTGGTCAAGTGGCAGCAACAATAAAACAATTTTAATTATTTATAATGGTTTTCTTGTAAAGATCTATTTTATAACAACTTTCATTAAAGTTGCAAATACATTAAGTTTAGCCTTACTAGAAAACTTAGCTAAAACTAAAAAATTGATCAATGTTGTTACACTGGATATCAAAAAAAAAAGACATCAAATTACCAATAAATACATTTCAAGACATTTTACAAACCTATTTGTTTGGTCTGTGACTTGACCAAAGGTTGATCTTTGTTTCTGTGCAGCTGTTTCACCAGCCTGGCCTGCTCTGGGTTGATTCCACCTATTGGGACAATCTTCACATTGCCACTCATCTCAGCCAACTTTGTCCTAGCCATGACGGTGGCGAATTCTTTGTGATCAGAGGCCAGCTCCACCGACACCTGGCAACCCAGGGCACGCAATTTATTTTAAAATGGCATTATTTTTTACTTAATGAAAGACTAAGTCTTTTATGCACTGCATGGGTACATTATACCATGAACTGCATCAATTCTTTCGTACATGTATATTTTTTTACCCTCCATTTCAGCATCCAAGCCTCAAGCCCACTTCCTGTCCCCTTTTATGGGAGTCGCTTAGTCGATTGATTTGTCATGTGATGAGAGTAAAAACGAGTAAGACTTCCGGTAGGCTGTATACAACACACTAGTGCTTGACAACAGTAGCCCGTTACACACTACAACTAGTAATTCAAGATGCCTAGGCAATGTTCGGCTTTTGGCTGTTCAAACAGTCAAGTTAAGGACAGCGGTATAAGTCTGCATAAGTTTCCGCTTAAGAATAAAGAAAATTTAAGACAATGCCTTAACAAAGTGGACCTTCGTTAATATTTCACATGAAATCTTGTTCCAACCGGTTTTTTAAATATTCCTTCGCCGCACCAATATTGAATAAACCCTCAAATGACGTCATGGGTATGCCGACATTTCGTCCAATGAAAATTAACAATAAAATAAACAAAGGGGAATGACTCCTGTACAAATATTGAATAAACACGAAAATGATGTCATGGGCATGCACGGAGCTCAACAACAGCCTGCCGATAATAGTATTGATAGTTCCCATGGGATATCGCTCACAAATTTTTCTTGAAAAAACTTTCTTCCTTAATCATAACTGACGTATATTTATTGTCACATTTATGTATTTCATTTGAAAAACGCGTGTATTCCAGAATATTTTGAAAGGTAAAATTTCAGAGGCCATGATTGGCCATAAGAAACATGACATTGGGGAAGCACTGATGAAGTATCTTTTGTTGTGTGTAGCAGCCTAGTGATGGCTTACTCTCATCACGTGACCAAACAAGGAAGTGACTAAGCGACTCCCATTTTTCTGCTCCAATCAATCGAATGACATTTACTTTATACACCATTTTGAGTTATCTCTGCTCTCTTTCATTTCTCAGCTAGCACAGGCTGTGGCAAACTTTTACGTAGGAAATGGCAAAGCTTTTCTTTTATTGTAACACTTTGTCAGCTGATGAGGGCTTTATGCTGACAAGTACATGTTTATTTTCTTCACACATATACAATTATCCTCTCCTCGAGGTCACTTTCAACAAAGTTCCAAAGAAAGTCTTTAATTATACACATTTTTTTAATTTGGCTAATCCCTGCATGGATTATAACATAACACTGTTTATATTGAAGATTAAGACCTTGACAAGAGTATTATTACCTTCAGATGTCCAAATAGATGAGAAATGTTTCTATTGTTCAGAGAACTGTTCATAGAGGAAGCTCTTGAGGTGTTCAACAGGCCATTTTTACTTGTATCTGGAATCTCTATATCTCGTTGGACAAACAAGTTCTCAGAGCGTAGAATAGACTTGAGTGAGATGCCACCACTTCCAATTAATATTGGCTGGGGAAAATTAGACAAAAAAATTTGCTAATAGAAAATGTCATGATTATCTTTTTTTTTTGCATTTTTTTTTTCTACAATGATAAATAATTGATTTAATTCCAGGCTTAGCCTTATCCATAATTGAAGCATTCTCAACTAATTTGGAGAGAAACCTGGATCATTGCTTTCAGTGATGAAGCCTTTGATTATTCTTTCATTCTATATCTTAAAATCTTTCTGATTTATTTACCAAGCCTAAATACTTTTGGCATCATTTTATGAAAAATTGTTATTTAAGTCGGGCTTTTTAGCCAAAATATGTTCATATAATTTGGATAATAGGTTTATTAATCAAGCCCACAATCCTTAAAGAATTATGTCTGTTTAATTGTGAAATAAAAAAAACATTGAAGCTTCTATCAATAGATCCAAGAAACACCAATCATGCTAACCGGTTGAGAAAAACACCAATCATGCTAACCGGTTGAGAATCACAAATCGTGCTAATCGGTTGAGCAATACTGTAATACGCAATGATATACTGAACATTTAATCCAGGTGGGACATTTCACCGACAGAAACTTATCCTGCCACCAGTTACACCTATTTCAATGACATCAAAGAAAATAGGGTCAATTTAACTTGAATATATTGGCCACACCAATACAGAACGAGATCTTTCTTTTTTTTTAAAAATCCAGAGTTAGCAGAGCTTTTTGGAACTAAAATTCTGAACAAACTGAAATATATTTAATGACAACTGCATCTCTCTTCTATCACTCTGTGACTGTGTAGAAGATGACAACTGCATCTCTCTCTTCTATCACTCTGTGACTGTGTAGAAGATGACAACTGCATCTCTCTTCTATCACTCTGTGACTGTGTAGAAGATGACAACTGCATCTCTCTCTTCTATCACTCTGTGACTGTGTAGAAGATGACAACTGCATCTTTCTCTTCTATCACTCTGTGACCATGTAGAAGATGACAGCTGCATCTCTCTCTTCTATCACTCTGTGAAGAAGATGACAACTTACGGTGTGCTCCCCAGCCTCTTTGCTGTACAACCTGAACACCAGAGCAGACTTCCACCATCTCTCAACAGCAGCTCCATCAAACATGATAGGAAACACAGATCGGTGGTTGAAGAGCACAGCTAAGATAAAAATTAAATTGTTTCAATTTCTGCAACTTTAAAAAAGTTGATAAATTTTTTAGATAAAGATTTGATTGGAATAGGATGTAATACCAGTCAAAACTACCGGTATTTCATTCCTATGGTTAAAGTACTTGAATCTAGTCCTCTCTATATCAATAGTATAATCAATTATTTAAGATTTCATCAAATTTGTCCAATATTTTAACTGTAATCTAATTGATCAAGACAAACTGCAAACTAGCACATGCCAACTGCATTTAGAGTGATCCCAATATTATTCACATTAAAATCCTTATGATTAATATACCTCCATTTTTCACATTCTTTGAAGCAACTCTTGTAATCTCTGTTGCCATGGCATTTGGAGTATATTTATCTCTAGAATTGGCAACAACTGGAAATTGATACTCCACAAAATAGGTACTGAAAATGAAAAATGGTTATTTAAAAATGTAATCCTTTTTCAAAACAGCCATTATATTTGAGAACAAAATATGATGCAATGCATATGTATTTACGGTCTAAAAATAAATTTAATATCTGATATTTACTTTGGTGAAATCATTGAATGGATCCTAATTCTAAAATTAATTTCAAAATAAATGGAACATCATCAAAAAATGTTCGTACTTGGCCTTCTTCGACTTGAGAGGTATGGGTGGTCTCCCTGTTTTAAGTTTACTGACTGACATCTTTGAATCTGATGTGTCCAGAGAATCAGGTTTTAGCAGGTGTAGATTGTCAATTGTCACTCTGGCCACGTGGACACGTCCAAGCAGTGTCAGCCGTTCAACGCTTAGACCCTCTGTCAGAATAAAAAATAGATTTTGAATTTGTATCTTTCGCTCATGGAATTTTTTTTTAACCAATAAATTTTAGGCTATTAGATTCAATGATTGCAAACTACTGACCTAGAAAATGTATACACAACAAAGTATATCTTTATAACAGTGTGAATTCTTTGTTGTATTCTACCCTTTGTTTTTTTTAATACCTTGCTTTGGATTCCTTAAATCTGACGGAACTGGATCAAATGAAACTCTCGAGATTTCTGACTGCCCTGCACTCGTCATATCACTGTCACTGACCTCATCCACGCTGGACTGTCTCTTTCGTGACCGAGATCTTGACCCAGATCTGGAACGGGATCGCAATTTCTTTTTCGTTTTCAATGGTTTGGCAACAATGGAAGGGATTGGTGCATTTTCTTTTGAGTTAGATTTGAATGATTTAGTGGTTGCTTTGCCAGCTGGGTCTGCTCTTGTCCTCGTCAGTGAATTTGAGCGTGATCGTGATCTGGATCCTGATCTTGAACGTGATCTTGCTTTTCGTTTAGTTTTTTTCTGTCTAAGAGTTCCCTCCTCCTCTCGCCCTGCTGTGTTTAAACTAGTGAGGGATGACGCCCTTGAAGGAGGTCTCTGAAGATTCAATGCAAATAAAATCGTAGACATTTTATTTTTAAATTTAAAGATAAAACCCTGGGTGTTAGACTGAAAATTGGGATATGAAAATTGTTGAATAATTTTATAATTAACAAAATCTAATATGTAACATTTGGTCAACTGTTTAAAAGTATTTTTTCTGATGTCACATGCTTTGGTCTCTAAGTGGTTCTGTTATTTTTTTTTGTTTTTTTTAAAAACATGTTACGACTGTCAATTTAAAATCTGCAAATGGTGTTAAAACTTAACATTCCCACCTGGTTCCCTGGTTCTTCTAAAGAGTGTCTCCTGGTAAATCCTCCACTCCCCCCAAGAAGTCTGGGTGGCAGCAATGAGTTGTCATAATGTGGCTTGTGTTGAGGTGAGTGATGCTCAAAGCCACTAACATCACTGAATCCCAAGCCCTCATTATCCTTCAGGATGAGAAGATGTCTTGTTTCGTTACATCATCTCAGCAATATTTTTTTAATGGATGTTTAAAAAATGTATATCTAATGTGCATACCCGGCACATGTGAGTGCCCCTGAGGAATACCCTGGAGTGAACTTGTGGTAGGCCATCAAACACCAGACTAGATGTCAGACCCTTGCATTGTCCTGTTACAGAACACATCTTGCCCTCACCATGTGTTACAAGGAAATGTGTGGAGAATCGGCCCCAACAAGCATAGAAGCCAGTTAAACACTAGTCTTTCAGTGATCAGCTGGTCCTTGAACAAATGCTCAAAAACTCTATTGACAAGTCAACCTTGGTGACAATGGGTTACTATTTTAACATAGTGTATTTCAAATATGCAAACATGAAAAATATATAAAAATTTAAAAGATTTTGTTGAAGCAGGTGATTAATGCCTCTGAATGAGAGAGATTTATATAAACTTATAATTGTTCTAAATACATTTTAACATTAGGTGATTTCCATATGGACGCAACATCCAAAATTAAATCGTATACAATGTGTTGCTATGTAAATTTGTTTCTTGCATCTTGGTATGGGGTCATTGTTAGTACCTTTGTTTTGTGTCACATGACACAGTGGCCATCTTAAAATTAAGAACATGTTGTCTGCACATTTTATTAGAATTTTTTTTTTTTAAATGTGTGTTTATATCTAATAAATATAGACAGAAAATTTCACTGTCATGATCGATGCCACATGACAGACCAGCATTAAAACACTGTTATTTATGTTTAAGTACATTATTACTGCGACAGGAAAGTGTTTGTAATTCTATAAAAGAATTGACATTGTTTTTTCCAATTTTTTCATTGCTTGCATTCAGATCCATTACGTCAGTTATAAAGTTATGTTACATCAGGTACATGATTTTGTCTGTATAGTTTTTTAAATGTGCTTTCTAAGTAGTTTTTAAAATTTCTTCCTTAGAAAAGTAACCAGTGTAGATAATTAGTTTGAAAAAAAATAATTCAATAAAAGCAGATTACAAAGGAAATCAACAAAAAAATGCTGTCTCAAATATCATATCTTTTTCATCTTACGTCAGCTACAATTCCAAAAAAATAATTGTGTTGTTACCAATCTGCTTAATATATTTATTTATAAATGATATGACCCAAAAAAATGTATAATTAAATGAAGCAAACTTAATTGCAGTTTTCATTTATGCTGGATGGAAATTGAAAATATTTCGCTGAAAGTTACGCCAGTTGCGATGGAATTCACTGTGAATGAACACTTACAGAATTGTAATAAAATAGGTCTTGTAAGATAGAATTCTCATGCAGAGGGTCCTCAGGCTCACTCATCAACTGGTCATAGCCCATGTCCGACGACATGCTGGTTCCTGGGCTCAGGCCATTCATCATGTTATACAGCTGTGGTGGCGACAAAAAAGAACAAGATAATATAATTTAATATAAGTTATTTGTGAAGTCATATAAACAACATCAAGTTCAATAATGTTGTACCGTCATCACCATTAAAATAAGTATTTGTATCTAATAAACTTATCAAATAAAAAGAATGTTTGCTACCGTAAGTATTATAGACCTGTTTACACTCTAACTCTTAAAATCGTACAATATCATCACAAAATCATTCAAAACATTATCTTAATACTAAAAAATAAACATAAAGTATATATAATTTATACATCGTAAAATCGCACATTGTACGCCATATCGTAAGAGTAAACAGGTCTGGTAGTATTAACCCATATTCAAATAACAAATGTTAATCAAAATCTTTTGACATGAATCCCATCAAGATGTTTAAATCTAAATGATTATTTTCAACGACATCATTTTTTCTAAAAAACGTCCATGAAGCATTTTCTGACCTGAAAATCCTGGTTTCTTATAGGAGAGGTCATCAGAAGATCCAGTGTTGAATTTGGTCCTCTTCCATAATCATCAGTCAGCAAGACAGCTCCATCACTGCCACCTTTGGGTACATGACTGCTGATAGATGTGTTCAAATAGCTACACTGTTAGTGTGTTTAGTTTTTTTGCCCAGTGTTTTATCCCTTAAAAAATAATTATTTAAAAACAAAGTTGACCTTGTTAAAAAGAGCTAAAACAATTGGAACAGTCTGATTGTCAGATTTGCATAGCATGGGTTACTAAATTCTTATAAATGCTACTGAAAAGACCTTTCTTTTCTGCCCATCTTGTACAATAAATTAATATCTCAGCACACTGTGTGTACATTTGTTTAACATGTAAAGTATAAAGTAAGACCATCTTAGAATCACACAGTCAGCCACCTGTTAGAATGGTTGGGTAAAATCTCAGCACACTGGGTGTACATTTGTTGAACATGTAAAGTATAAAGTAAGACCATCTTAGAATCACACAATGAGCCACCTGTTAGAATGGTTGGGTAAAATCTCAGGTCCTGACTTGAGATCTGTGTGCATAGATGAAACAATCATGGCCTCCCTCAGCTTTGTACCTTTGTCAACCAATACTGACAAAAGATCTCTTCCCTCGGGTTTGCCTGGGCTTACTAAATGCAAGGTAAATTGTGTTTAATGTCATGATATAGAGGAAAATGAAGATAAAAATTGATACAACTAGTTTAAGTTCAATAGTTAATAGCTTAGGAAATCATAATAAAACGTAGCCTATTCTATTTTTACTGTTCCCCTTTTTTTGTTTATGTCTTTAGTGTACAGTATTTATCCCTTGCCTCCGTGTGTTGGCTTGCTCTGGATGTCATTTGATTGATAAGAATATCTGCCATTCGCAAGAGTTGTTCTGCTATTTGGTAAGCTTATAATATCTCCATTGGTTGTAATTGCAACTGTCCCACTGCCTTGTTGGGGTGCAGACTTGGAATTGTTAACACCATAACTAGGGTTTTGATGGTGATCCCTTTTAGCATAAGTCTTTGACAGTGAACCTTGGATATTTCGTAAATTACTCTTTTCCTGTGAAAATTAAATCAAAATGTAAGTTTTTATTAAATGTATAAATTTTTTAAAACTTTACCAATACAGAATTAGTATTTAATTCACATAATGAATAAAGTTTAATTAGATATTGCTTAATTTCAAAGAATTGCATATACATCTTTATAGTTTCAAAATCATAAATAAGGCATATTTTTGCCTTACAGCTCGTTTGCAATAGGGGAAGGTTTGTTGAGAGGTGAACAGCTGGAAAAGATTGAATAAGCCGGAGTAAATGGCTATGGACAGGGATGGGCAATACTCCAACAATTCAATGAGAAATTATGTACGACAGAGGTCTCAAATATTTGTATACACAATTTCATGATGAAGAATCAAATTTAAAAAAAGGACTGAATTCCATATTATTATCATTTGGGGTCGCTCCATAAGAGACCAGGCTAACTATCCATGAGGGCTGTATGCACCATCTTAAGACTTCTTTTGTGGTTCCTGTACCAAAATTACTAAAAAAAAAAAAAAAACCTTCTTAAGAATTAAGAAATAGCTGAAGTCCCATTTTTTACCGTTCTGATCCAAAACACCCAATTACCTCAGAGCTTACACCTGACAGGTACCAGCGGTCTCTAACCTTCAATATTGCACTGTAATTTGTTAACTTTACTAGTATCCTCACAAGAGTTAACTTAATGATAAGATAAGGACTCACGGATGTTGGTGATTTGAACACTGTGTTCATAGGTCTAGTTGGCATATCAGAATAAGGCATTGGATGATTGATTTCTGGAATGACCATAGAATCATTTCCCCTGTAAAAGTTATCTGTACCAATATCTGTGGTTGGAATGGAACCCATGTTGTCATATGATGCTGCAGAAAGTTGAAAGATACAGATTTTATTCATTTTGAAACAAACAAAACATAGATAGATATATATATATATCTACAAATATATGTTTAAAAATATATTTAAAATTGAGATAGCTTTCTTTTGAAATCATTTTGTTTTAAAATCACATCATAATAATTAATATTTAATTGGGCAATAACTTCATATAATGCCAGTGGGAAATGACAATTCGGATTAGATTTTTTTCATAAGCTCAATTCTGAATTCTGAATAATGATTTTTTACCTAAAAGTGGTTCCAGCACCAAAGAAACGTGTAGGTTTGCCAATTTTTGACCAGTTGCTGATATCACAGGAAAAATACTATATATATGGAAAGATACAAGATTGGATGAGTTTTGGCCAAAAGATAAACAAACAAACAAAAATATTATTGGGCTACTGATGTCACTTTTTTTACTAGCTTTAAATTAGTATAAATATTACTCATTCAATTCCAGTTCACACTCATCACTCATTCAATTCCAGTTCACACTCATCACTCATTCAATTCCAGTTCACACTCATCACTCATTCAATTCCAGTTCACACTCATCACTCATTCAATTCCAGTTCACACTCATCACTCATTCAATTCCAGTTCACACTCATCACTCATTCAATTCCAGTTCACACTCATCACTCATTCAATTCCAGTTCACACTCATCACTCATTCAATTCCAGTTCACACTCATCACAATTGGCAGATTTAAAAAAAAAAAAAATTCTGCTGATCGTGTCTTTTTATTTCAACCCTCAGTTTTAAAAGTGCAATTCAATCTGAAACACATTGAACTGAAAATAGCTGATGCTTAAAACCGAAAGATGATGCTTACATTAACACTTTTAAAACATACCCATTTACTGGTCGTGTATTTGTTAACTGCCCAACTTGAGTAATATTTGCTTGACCAATGACTTCTGATTTTGGTGATGTCATCAAGTCCAGAGTAAGCTTGTCCATGTCTGTGAGATATGTTGCAAACTGACATGGTCCTGACCGAACAGGATATCTTGCCGTTGTTCTGCATTCTAATTTGTTTCCTTTCTTAGCATCCACGGGTCTAAAGAGTTAAAAAAAGTCCATAAATGATGCAGGAGAGTTTGTATACAGAATTAAAGTAAAATAATTATGAATTGCAAAAAACATTTCGATTTGATATATTGTAATAAATTGTTCAAATACAGAAGCATGTCTTTGAAATTTTTTTTCAAAATTATATTCTTTACATCGGAAAAATGCAGATGGTGTTTACATCAAATCTTACCGAAAGAAAGCACCATCCCCCTCCTCCCCCCACCACTTGACTCGGACAAGTGCCAAATCAGGGGGTCTTGGTACAGTCCAAACCACCTGTGAGATGGTAAGCTTACAGAAGCATCGAATCTGACCATCAACTTGAGGTGGTAGACCTGTGTTCACTTTAACATCATCACTGATCCACTGTTTATCTGTGTTTTCAAGAGTAAATTAATTTTTGTAAAAGTATATAAGCCTACATTTTATACAATAGAATGCATTTTAAAAGATATTTAAACATTAAATGACCAAATTGCAACACTGCGCATTATCCTAGAGCAATCACTGGAATGGAACTCTCCTCTCTACATAAATTTTGTTGACTATGACAAACCCTTTGACAGTGTGGATAGGCAAACCCTCTGGAGGCTGTTGAGACATTATGGGGTGATGCGGAAAATCACTGACTTAATCAGGAACTCCTATGAAGGGATGACCTGCCGAGTGGTCCATGGACAACAGGTGACAGATGCTTTCCAGGTGAAGACCGGTGTGAGGCAAGGATGTTTGCTTTCACCTTTCCTGTTTCTATTGGCCATGACTAGGTGATGAAAACATCCACACAGCAGAAGGGGAATGGTATACAATGGACCTTGTGGGACCAGCTTGACGACCTTGACTTTGCTGATGATCTTGCCCTTCTCTTCCATACCCAACAACAGATGCAGGAGAAAGCCAGAACTATTGCAGCCACTTCTGCATGTATTGGTCTCAATATACACAAAGGGAGGAATAAGGTCCTCAAGGTTAATGCCACCAATACAGCACCCAACAGGCTCGAAGAGAAAGCACGTGAAGGGGTGAAGAACTTTGTCTATCTTGGCAGCACCGTGGACAAGCAAGGTGGGACGGATGCTGATGTCAAAATAAGGGTTGGAAAGGCACAGGCAGCCTTCCAACAACTCAAGAATGTCTGGGTCCCCAAACACTTGAGTAACAACCTAAAGATCAGAACCTTCAACACCATGGTGAAACCTGTTTTACTATATGGCGCAGAGACATGGAGAACAAGCTTTCAAAAGAAACAGTTGAGGCGACAACACTAGACACATTTGCGTCTATTGCCTCAAGCCTTCCAACCCCCATTGCATGATTCCTTCACAGAGTAGCACTTGTAATCATTGAAATATCCTCATCAGCACCAGGCACAGAAACATTGCAAATCCCCTCTGCATGCATAGGAGCCAAAATAATCAATAAATTGATCGTGGGCCCTTAATATAAAGAAGAAGAAGAACCACTGCTGTGAATATGATGAGAATCCAGTCCTTCATCAATAACTGCCTAAGGAGAATTCTCTGGATTCACTAGCCTGACAGAATCAGCAACCAGAAACTGTGGTAGCGGACAAAGCAGAAACCGGTAGAACAAGAGATCCTCCAGAGAAGATGGAGATGGATTGGCCATACACTCAGGTAATCTGCCTCTAGCATAACTAGACAAGCCCTGAACTGGAACCATCAGGGAAAACGGAAAAGAGGCAGGCCAAGAAACACTTGATGCCGTGAAGCGGAAGCAGATACCAAGAAACTTGGCCATGAGGGAATCTGGAGAGATCGGCTCAGGATCGTGATGCCTGGAGTACTCTTGTAGGTGGCTTATGTCCTAGGAAGGATCACAGACGTCAATGAAGATCGGCTGCTGTTCCTCTTCCTCGAGGACGAAGAGGCGAAAGAAGAAGAAGAAATCATTTCAAATTAATGCATTCTGATTTTATAAAGAATGCCATTAGGTGACACAATTCCTAGAATTTCTGTACTATAACATTTTGAGTTTGTTTATATATGTATATTTAAATATATTATTATACATAAATATATATTTAAATATATTTATATATTTAGGCTGCATGATTTCTTAGCAGTGAGTCTTAGAGACTTAGACAGACAGATAGAGAGAGAGATTTTTGCTATATGAAACATTTCTTTAACATGAGTGTAAATTAATAATTGTATTTTGAGGAGTGTACCTTTTTTCACTTGCTGTAAGTTGATCCAGTTTGTTATACGCCCCGTTTAGTTTCATTCATTTGTTTCTGGTGAATGAACTTAAGCTGACCCCCAATTCAGCAGCATTGCGCTATTAGTGGGTATGGCTTACTAAATATAGTCTCCCTTTGACCTTGGTTACAATTAACTACAATATATGGTCTGTTTATTCTTAGAACTTTGCAGTCCGGTTTCTCAAAAAATCTATGAAACAGGCTACATAAAGCAGAGAGATTGAATGACAGAATACCAGACGGCAGATCAGAAGAGACCATAGCTATTTTGAGCAAGTGCTATTGTTTTGCTTACTATGTGTGTGTGAGTAGATTCTTTTTCATTATTGTACATTTTTTACAACATTGTATCTTCTTCGACATTGTACCGGTAAAAGCCAATCATCATACTGTAAGTCAATAGCTTTAATTATATTTCTTTTTGATTTTGTAATTTACAATTAGCATAATAAAATTTATTAATTGTAATTAGTCCTGGTTTGAGTATCGTATTCTTTGTTATTGTATTTATCATTTGGTATCGTCTTTTTTTGTGTACTGTTTTAGAATGAGCCATACACTTAAATAAGAGATTAATTTCTCCATACTGATGTGGGCTAGTCCTGGGGATTTATTGAATCCAAATTTGCATTTCTCATTAGCACCAATAACAAAAATGGTTTGCTTGTCCTGAGATTGAGATAATTTGAATCCATAACTTTTCTTATAACAATAACACCAATTCCAATAATAAAGTGAGTGTTTGTCTGTGGATTTTGACCCACTGTTTTCTTTAATTTACTCAGACTAAATTGTGTATGTGATACCATGACCATGCTTTGTTCCATTTGATATACCATGGAAGACATCGCCTGCCCTGACGCTAACTGCATTTTAATTTTAGCCCTGAATTATTAGTTAACAGTTGAAGTTAAATAAAAGTTTGTGAGCATTATTGTCAATACCACATACTGCTATGCCTTATGATTAATCAGTTAATTCCATTTAATTTTAAAATTGATGGTCTTGACTAATTTTTCATTTGCGATTTTTTGGCTTTTTCAATTTTAATTGATTCATTTACCAGATTTACCACTTACCTGCTCTTGACAATATTAATTAGGCTCAATAATTAGTAAATTAGGCTACACAAAAATTGTTCCTAATTACTCTTAGAATTAAAATTAATAACTACCCATATTCATATTATATATAATGTGGTAAAATGACATATCAGTAATTTTGTAAGCCTAATAACAACTTGTTTTTAAAATAAAAACATGCACGAACACAACAGTCGGTGTCGGTTTAAAACAGCCACATTCTTACTCTTAAATTACTATTTATTGTTTATTACCTGTATTTTTTAACGGTTTAGTTGCTTTTGAGAAGTTTTTTGACATATTAAAATATTACATAAAAATCCAACATTATATTCATATTATCTGGTTCTAATAAATTCAAATTATTTTTTTGACACAGCGGTATCCACATAAACAATCTGCGTTCAGTCTATACTTGTCCGCCATTTCAGTTTACTCGTAGCAACGAGACGCCGCGAGATTTGAGGCTTCGCTAACTAAACTAAACGTCCGACTTAACTCAAAAGCACATTTCAAAAAGAAAATTCCCCGAACATCAGTTACTGAAACTGCAAAGAGCGTTTGGTGGAAACCTTAGAATGACCATCATAACCAGTAAATCCCAGTATGACTATGATGTTTCTAACATTTCGACAGGGGTATAATAATATAATGTCATGGGCCCCGCAAAATTTAATTTGGACCCAGCTCTGAGCCTAACCAGCACATAAACGCCATTACCATGCGTTCTGATTAACAAAATAATTGGTCCCAATAATAAATACTGAGTCTCAGTGGCGCAGCTAGTGTTATTGCCACCCAGGATGCGGGTGGGTCATGAGTTTTAAATGTGCCACCATCATCTCCCCCACGAAGAACACACAAACAATGTATTTGTAATAATTGTAACATCGGCTTTTCAAAGGGAGCAATGGGCGCACTCAACTGAGACCCTCAGTGGAGATTTAAGGTGCTCATCACTAAGTTTGGCCCTGAACTTTCACTTTTTAAAGTTCATAGTGGAAAAGAGCTTTTCACACAGATAGGTACTCCCAAAAAAGGCAAATGATCTGCTTGAACAACCTTGAAATCTCAGGGAGGGTGGAGAGCAATGTTCTCATAAATGATCAATGCTTGTCTGTTTTTCCATTCACCTCCCTGAACTTAGAATTGAACTGAAGATGAATTAGCTCCATTTGAAGCGCAATTTAGGCCGGGGGGGGGGGGTGAATCTTTTGAATTGAAGGGAAAAGGGTCGGCAAAAAGTTGAAAAGTAATGCTTGTCTGTTTTTCCATTCACCTCCCTGAACTTAGAATTGAACTGAAGATGAATTAGCTCCATTTGAAGCGCAATTTAGGCCGGGGGGGGGGGTGCATCTTTTGAATTGAATGGAAAATGGTCAGCAAAAAGTTGAAAAGTCGCTCTTGTCTGTTTTGAAGTCTAAAAACATGTGATCACATTCTTCCTGTAGCCTTGCAATCACATCAGTACACTTACTACTGAAGGTTGTGCCCTAGTCCATGAGTACTTTGCATGTTGGGAAATGGCAGAGGGTTCTCTAAGAATCATAACACAAGCTTTGTGCAGAATGCCCTGACATTGTCCTTGACAACACTACACTGACAAGCTACCCCTGGTCTTGTAACTTCTTGTTGAGAACATTCAGCTCCTGTGTAATTCAACAAGAAAACGCAGGTCCATGAGCAATTTGGGATCACTTAGCACAGGAACAGCTACCCCACCCTTCTCCATGAAGGCTTTCAATGTTAAACGCATTCAAACTGTAGGAAGGGGCAGGGGCGAGTCGCCAGTTTGAGACCCCTGCTATAAAGCCTTTGTCCGGCCGCTTTTAGATTATGCGCCTTCAGTCTGGGACCCATTCACCCAGAAAAACATTGACAGGCTGGAAGCAGCACGCTTTGTCCTGAACCGCTACAGGAACACCTCTAGTGTTGGCAGCATGCTGGAAACACTGGGCTGGTCACCATTGGAGGTAAGAAGACGACTACACAGGCTCTCCATGATGTAAAATGTAAAAGTTAAATAATGGGCTGGTCCACTGCTCCAGCATTAAACGGATGCTCTTATTTGGTGGGGGGGGGGGGGGTTTGGGGGGGTTTTTTTTTTTTTTTTGTTTTTTTTATTTTTATATTTTTTCTACCGATGACGTCGACGCGACGTCACGATCACCCACTTTCAATGACCAAAGACGTCACATTGTCGGCATAACAAAAAGTAAAAGAACTTTTCTTAAATACCAAGGACGCCACGTCGACGTCATATTTCAATGCTATATATTTTCTTATTCGTTAATCTAATAGAGAAGTTAAAAAGCGAATCGGATAGAGAATGAAATATACTGAAAATTTCATCTTTTTAAGTTTTTTATTGAGTCAGCAAAAATCGTTGCGCAAAAACCCTGCGCTATCGAAAGGGTTGATTTAATTTTTAAGGTAGATTTCCCCCATTTTGAAATAATAATTTTATGCATAAACATTTTTTAAAAAAATAATTTACTTTAACTAACAAAATTAACATTGGTTTAATGCATGTTACGAATATTATAATCAACAAGCGGATATTTGCCGGGATAGCATTCCCTCGGAATCCCAATTCCGGTATGATCCCAATCCCGTCGGTATTCCGATTATCCCGATACCAGTGTGATAACGATATTGGGTGGGAACCCAATAGCTGTCAGATCCCGATACCTATGGGTTACCGATCTCGGTAGGTTTGAGATTTTCAATAGAATACCGATCCCGTTAGAATCCTGTTTCAAGGTGGGATCCTATTCTCTGATAAGAACAAATAATTCTCTTTAAGAGCTAATAAAGCGATCATTAACAAAAAACTGAACGATCTTTAACAACACAATAAGCGATCTTTCAGAACAAACTAAACGATCTTTAACAACAAGATGCTATATTAGATGTTTATTTATTAATATTCACGATTATCTCATTTTTTAAATAAAAAGAATGTAAATGTTTATATTTTCCCCCATCATTTTCGATGTATGCAGAATGTATGCGGGAACGAATTTCAAAATATCTAAATATTTCCTTTTCGGTTTCGGCCGAAAGTCTTTTTTAAACTTTCGGTATTTTTTCGGTTTCGGTCGAAAGTCATTTTAAACTTTCGGCTTCGGCCGAAATCAGAAAATCACTTTCAGTTGGTCTCTAATTTAAAGATTGTAAATGAATTTTAAAATCTTAGAAAACCTTTCTCCGTTTTTTTTTTTTTTTTACACTCACACCATCTGTTTTGTTGACGAGAAAGCTCTGTTTGGGGTTGTTTGTCACACGCTGAAGACAAAAATTTGGTATCCTTCAGCTTAATAAAAATCATATCTACAGAGTTCAATTTTACTTCAATCAAATCATAATATAATAAATGGTGAGCCAAAATGTAAAGAGTATGACAACCCACCCCCGTTCTCCCCTGGCACGGGGCGTTTAAATGAAGATGTCATATTCATAAATAACAGTGTAATCTTCTTCTTCTTCTATATCTTAAGGGCCCACGATCAATTTATTGATCATTTTGGCTCCTATGCATGTAGATGGGATTTGCAATGTTTCTGTTACTGGTGGTGATGAGGAAATTATGCACTAGGGGTTTGAAGGCTTGAGGCAATAGACACAAATGTGTCTAGTGTTGTCGCCTCAACTGTTCCTTTTGAATGTAATGTTCTTATTTAGACCTTCCCAAGGGGGTGGGGATCGCTGGCTGCCCTCAAACTTTTACAGGCCTATTTGATCAGACCGAACCGATTTTTCTGAGGTAAAAATTGTTTATTTCAACTTTCTGCAGTATGAGACCTATCGATATGGTTTTCTATTGTAAACAGGCTGTTCGGCGCCCTGAGCCACCTATTAATCTTGGTACCCACATCGGAACGAAAGCACTAAGAAGTTCCTTTGAATGGCGCTCCACTGTCGTTTTGACTCCTTTCTACCGGGATGGCGCCATGTCACCCACCCATTGTTTGGCTCGTTGGAGGTTGGGGGGGGGGGTTAATCTGCGAGAGACTTGGTTGGATTTTTTTGTTGTTGGAGGCCTTTTCATCTATGTTTTGTTCCGTTTGTTTATTATTACAGTGTTTTGAAGTATCCCTAATATATATTGCGCTTGTGGTGTGACTGCTTCCATTTCCGGATAGCGCGCGAAATATAATTCCCGATAAATACGCTAAATGTTAAAAATGAAATTGTCTCAATTTAAATATGCTGTAATAATTAGTCGGTTTAAAATTGGTTGGGACATCAGAATATTAATACAGGGTGGACCCAAAAAAATAATAATAAAAAATGAGAACATCTCATAGCAAAGGGTTATTTAATATTAAAGAATTGATATAATGTTTTGTCATTTATGGCCACCGAAAACTGTCATGATTATGATATCATTTATTTAAATATAGATACATAAGTCAATCAGTAATTGAATACATTTAACAAATTATGTTGCTGTAATTATTATATGACATTGTAAGAGATGTTCTTATTTTTTTTTTTTTGGTCCACCCTTTATATTTCATGGGTGTGAAATAAAAAGTGTGCTGTGACGTATCATGGGGGAAGGGGTGTACCAAAATTGGGATTCTTAAATGTGTTATTTGAGTTCATATTTTGTCATGTAACTTTAGTTATTTAGTCGATGGGAAGTTCACGCATATCTGTCACCAATGTTTGGCGAGCTATTTACAAGTTTATTCAATATTTGGGGACTCAAGTTTACCATAATGAACTGTCTTTGGACAATCATAGTTGCCCCTATGTTTGTGGTGTCCAAGGCCCAAAGGCGTCATTAGGGTCGGTGTCACCCATTGAGTCAACCCCTCCAGACTTCCTCGTGTACCTCCTCCGAGTCTGCGTGCACTGGTGTTAACTCGCTCTCTAGGCAACCTTCCTCGCTGGGTGGTAATAAAGGGGAGAGATTGCAACCAGGTTATGTAAAAGAAAATAAGCGAAACAAAGTATGAGAAACCCTGAATCAGAAAGACGCAACAATACAACATTTTTTTTTTTTTTTTTTTTTTGACGATGGCAGATGGGGGGGTTCGGGGAGGGGGGGGGGAAAATATAAAAATCAGCTAAAATAGCTTACTATTAAATACTATTGCTTAAAAAAACATGTTAACCTTTAACTTTAAGGATACTAAATGTTTTAGCTTATGTTTTAACAATATTTCTTTAGTTTAAAAAAAAAGAAAAAAAAAGAATAATAGGTGAGACTTAAAATGTAGTAATGCATGCAGTATGATGCAGACTCTATTTATCCTTCTCTCTAAACTCATTTCTTTGCTGCAGTAAATGCAACCCTAAAAAGGGTGGAGCCTTAGGTGAACTTTTCTACAGCAATAGTACCGTGAATAAATAAATGGTATAGAGTAGTTGGGTTTATATATAATTTTAAAAAAAATCAAGACCCCATCTTAACTTTTGACTTTAACTTAATATATATATATATATATAATATATATATATATATATATATAAAGGGCAATGATGTAATGTTTATTTTAGTGTCAGGCTTCCGTTGTGAAGAGCTCTTCAGTCAGACACCAAATAAGTAGGCCAGTCTAGTAGAGGTAAACAAACCAAACACACCTTGTAAGTAGAATAGCAGATATCAGATATACCGATATAAATATTACATATTAGTTTTAAGTCTAGGCGGCAAAGTCAACTGCATTTTTATCTTCAAAATATTTGGTAATATCAACCATACTTCATTTTTACTTTACTTTCATTGATTCGGTATTCAGTTACATTGATCATTGATATTTGAATTGATTCATTTAACTAGAGTCTATTAAAATTAATAATAGTCTTAGTCTTAATAACTTAATAGTATTAATTAATCATGAATTATTCATTTTCATTGGTCATAGATTTGAATTTGACTTGAATCATTGACAGATGAATGAACACAAGTTATTTACAAACATTAATTTTAAGTCATTACTTTAAGTGTTAGTAGATAAAATAAAGTAAAGACATTAAATTTAACTACTGAATATCATAAGTCAAGTCATATTAAGTGGCAAGTCATAATAAGTCGTCAGTTAAATAATAAATGAATACTGCCAGTAATAACAATTATTGAATAAACATGATGGACATGACGTCTTTCAACTTCAAATAACATTGAAATTGTATTTGTTGTTAAATCATTGATGGTTTGTCAACCAGTCAATAAAATTCTTTAGTACTAAAAATGTTATTCAACAAAGAAAATCAAACTGAAAATTGTTTGAGTTTGAGTGTTTGAAAGGTTGTGATGACTGGAAATTTGAAGATCTTAATGACTTTTCAAATGTGAGATGTTTGAGTAGAGGACAAGTGCTCAAACAATTTAATCATAATCATATATTGGGTCTAAATCAGGAGTGGGCAACCTAAGGCAAGGCCCAGTGAAACTTGAATCTGTCCCACCACAATACCTTCCTGGAACTGGATTAATGCTTTCACTTTCAAAAAATGTGCACCTTGTGATGATTTTTCTGTAAAAAGCCTTTGAAAATTAAGAAACACAGTGTAAAATTGTCAAAACTGTAATAATAATAATAATAATAATCACAGCAAATTTACTAAGTATTTTACTGCATATTTTGAAACTGTACTGGTAGTGAATTTCTTTTACGCCTCACTTCAATGTCATATTTAAAACTGGAACTCTTAAATTCCTAGAAAATTTGTATACACCCCGACAAATAAAATATTAATTCCATGTGGCCCTCTGCCTCTGTACAAAAATAAGTTGTTGTTTAGATTTAGATAGAAGGCGCATGCCTAATATTAAAAGTAAAAGCCTTCTAGTAGGCCTATCAAATAGTAATGACAGTAATGGCTAAAACTATTAGTACTAACTTAACAATTTGTGTATAGTCAAACATATTATTTATATTCTAGGTCAAAATTTGGCCTAATTATCTTTATACTAATGATTTATAAATTTAGCCTCCTCATTTGAACTTCTAAGTATTAGTATACAAAATTAAATCATTTAAGTAATAAGTATACGAGTTGTAAATAATGAATTATGTATCACTAGCTATAGCCTGCCAAATGATGGTGGCTGCAAATGCATGAACTTCCCATTTTCTAAAGTTACTTTACAAAACATGCATTCATGTAGCACACTTTATAACAATCCCAATTAGTGCTCCCCCACCCCTTTGCCCCCTGCCCTTTTTTTTCAGGTTCGCAACAGCCCCACCCCCTTTTATACAGCAAAGTTATAGAACCATTTTTAAATTGAGACTGATTATATTTAAAAAAAAAAAAAATTACTTGTAATATTTTTAAAAATCTCACAGCACAGTTATAAGGAATTTCATTTAGAGTTAGACTATTGATAATTTTAGGGCCAATATATCGATATATGTGGCCCTAAATTAAATGTAATGAGACTGGAAAGAATCATAAAATGAAAACAGTAATGATAATTAGAAATCAAATAAATGTCCTTTTATTTATAAAAAATTATGTAAATGACTTTATTTTTCAGACACAATGATGTTTTGTTAAAGCTTAATTTCACTTTCCACAAATTGTCTATTTATTGATTGCTCTATATAGGTTGAGGAGAACCCCTTAAACAATAAAAACAGGTCAGTCAGCTGACTGACCCATTTATTGTAATTTGGCTTTCTGAACTAGACCAAAGTCCACAGACAACTTTTCCAATATTTTGTTTTGTTGATGGGCATGTGATGTACTGTACTAAGGTCAAAGGTCAAGTTGGGGCCTGCTTAAACTAATAGTGAAAAGCAGCCAGCATACTTCATAAATATGTGATGGTTGTTGAATGCTCCTACTTGGTTCTTAGAAGAGAGGAAACACATGCTAGTGTTACTATTTTAAAAATTTGAAGTACACTCCTGACACATCTTCATAAACCAGCCTCATGAAAAACATCATTAAGATTTTTGGATTCGAAGGTCTTCATTTTGTTATATGTCTTATAATTCATAAAGCTTTTTTTTCTCCACATCATCTGTGTTTTTTTGTAGTCTTGTACTGAAATTTTAGCAATCTGGTATAGATAACTTAACTATTTTTAAAATCTAGAGTTTTATAAGAAAAAGAAATTATCTAATGTGTGCATTATGTGAACTTTCTCTGCCACTGAGATGTGGATTAAACACTTCCTGAAGATATTGTGCATGACTTTCTGTTTTCTTATACCTCAAGTTAAATGATTTTTTTTAAAAATCCCACTAATATTATACATTGGCACATTACAATTTGAAAATCCATAAATATTTTTGTTAGTTAAAAAAAAAAAATCAGTTTTATCATACATGTAATGCCCTTAGGCAGATATGTTGCATATATTATATCACCCAATCAATAACCATGAGAAGATAATCACTGATAGAGTGTACCTTTGCTACACCCCTGTGGTAACTTTATATGGTTCATATAGGTTGCACATGTGCAGAACGGTGCATTAAGAGCTCTTATAGAGTGATATGATAATACTGCCCATTTTAATGTAGAACCCGCTAGAGCCAGGGGATGAGTTTTCATTGATGAGCAACAACATTGAAGTGGCAGGATATTTACCATGTAACAAATGTCACACTGCCTATCAGGAATGTAAATCAGGATGGAGAACAAGTCATGAGCTCCTTAGATTGTTTTAACCTGTTTAGTCAGATATTTTTGGCATTTTTCAAACTGGCACACTTTAATTAAGTGCTAATGAATTTTCTAATGCAGCGTCAGCACTACAGTCATGCCATGCAGCCATGAAAATCATATTGCAACAGTTTAGCGGACACACCTGTAGATATTTGTATTACATTAACAGTGTATTCAAGTTAGTAATTTTGTTTTCTATTTCCTCCACAGTTTAAGTAACAGTTTTGTGCCAAGTCAGTTCACGGTTTTTGATCAAGCAGATGTTTAAGATTTAACAGTAAGCTTCTGCCTTTCAAAAGGGACCAGTGCAAAAATGCTTGTAGTTCGTCTAACGCAACTGTTTGATTCAGTCAAACAAACTCTCTTCATTGTTGGCTCAGGACTCATTGTCTTCCTTGCGCTTAGGAATTCTATAGTATGGTGAGTACACTTTCCTAGTTATGATTCTATAGTATAGTGAGAACACTTTCCTGGTTATGATTCTATTGTATGGTGAGTACACTTTCCTACTTATGATTCTATTGTATGGTGTGTAAACTTTGCTAGTTTTGATTCTATAGTATGGTGAGTACACTTTCCTAGTTATGATTCTAAAGTATGGTGTGTAGACTTTCCTAGTTATGATTCTATAGTATGGTAAGTACACTTTCCTAGATTTGATTCTATAGTATGGTAAGTACACTTTCCTTGATTTGATTTGACAAAATTAAGAGTATACATCTTTTTATCTAGTGCCATAATTTGCCATACGTTCACATTTATGAATAGTAATGTTGTATAACTTTGGTCCAATATAGGCACATGCAGCAGTTCTGGGGGGCATCTGGGGATTTCTGGCAACGTCAGTGGGATAACGTCTACACTCTGTTTGGACAGGACGAGGCACTAGTTTCAATAGCAGGTATCTCACACATCCTGTTTTTCAAAAATAAATTACTTACAGGATCTTCTTAAATAGATGCATCAAAATTGTTATCCAAATCATCTGCCCCCCCCCTCCCCCAAACCCCCAGCCGTGGTTAAATAGCCTGCTTGCTGAACTATTACAAGAAAAAGATTGTGGTGGGGTCGAGGTGGGGTTGTATTCTTCAAACTTACCAAAACTCGAGCCCTCAATCAAAAGGCAAAAGCCAAACTGATGCGGGATTTAAAAATGTGTCTGTTGTCTGCACATAAAAAATATCTTATGTTACTGTGGGGGGCAGAAAAAACACCAGGACGGTTAAAAGATAAACTCTGACTGTCAGTCTGTATTAACTGGATGTAATCATTTTAAAGTAGCATTTAGTAAGCTAGTTATTTTGAGGACCCTATGTACCACTGAAAATTCATTTAAATGTTTAGTCTAGAAGAATGTTAAAATTGCTAGATTCAGAACCAAATGACTTCAATCAAAACATCTTTATTTTGTTAACATGCTGCAATAACAAAAGAATACCTTTTTTTTATTTTACAGGCTCGTTTATCTTCACCACTGCCGTCTTCTGGCTGGCCAATTTATTTCTCTTGGTTTTAGACGTTACAGGCTGGCCCACGGTTTTATTGAAATATAAGATTCAAGATAGTAAGAACTGTCCTGTAAGTCAATACATAAGACCTGTCCCGTAAGTCAATACATAAGACCTGTCCCGTAAGTCAATACATAAGACCTATCCCGTAAGTCAATACATAAGAACTGTCCCGTAAGTCAATACATAAGACCTGTCCCGTAAGTCAATACATAATTACTGTCCCGTAAGTCAATACATAAGAACTGTCCTGTAAGTCAATACATAAAACCTGTCCCGTAAGTCAATACATAAGAACTGTCCCGTAAGTCAATACATAGACCTGTCCCGTAAGTCAATACATAGAACTGTCCCATAAGTCAATACATGGAATATGCAATGCTAATTCCAATGACAGTCTCACTAAGCAATATTGCAGACCAGCAGTCACTGAACTTTTTTCACAGCGGGCCGGATAATGGACAAAATGACAAGTGCGGGCCGTATAATCATTCTGTACAATACTTGCAAGCGAGAACAAAAGTTCTGGGGGAAAATGCGAAAAACTAAGTTTAGTATTCCAGGTTAATCCAGGTAAATGGCGTGCAATGTACAAAAAACAAAGACAAGCAACATATTTATTTACCAAAAAATGTCATCAAAGAAGACGATATTAGCAAAAAGATAGTTTGCATCAGGACTGGAGCGCATATATCGGAATTTCACAAAATAACCTACAAAAAAAAAAAAAAGAAGTTTACTGGGATTTGTGAAACTGACGTTTGGCTTTCAAGACATCATCAATGTTTGGTTTGGAATTGCTGCATCCAATCAAATAATTGCTTTCTAATGTCTATCAGTCATTCTCGTTTGGTGTGTTGACTTTATTAATTCTTATTTTGTTTAATGCTATTCTGACTTAGAGTTTGAACCACGTTAAAGTTTACCATTTATTCTCACTGTACCGGTGATAGACTGTGATAATATGATCTGTACGTCCACTCAATATAAATTAATATCTTTAGCAATTACATGTCTACAAAACAAAGTGACCACAGATTGTAATATAAACGTCCGTCGTCTACTTTTAGAAGCTAAATTTTTTTTACGCCAGCTTAACTCAATCCTAATTGGCACTGCGATGCGAGTAGTTATTGTATTCTTTTTACATACTGTATATTTATTTATTTACTATTAATATACCATATCGTAAGATTTTGAGATGATATTTTACGATCTTAGGCGTTCGAGGGTAAACAGTTCTGTAATAAACAAGAAAATCTAGATAGAAGAAATTAAAATTGAAAATGGTTATTTAAGGCTCATAGCAGCCAGAAGGTCTCAGCATGTGTGAAGATCTCCTTGTATTTTTTTACATAATATTTAAAATTGTGTCACAACGTCTCATGGTCCATACTTTTTAACAAGCAAATTCAAGTACCATCGGCGGGCGGGATCCCTGTCACAGACAGACATACTACAAGACTTAAAATGTAAAATATTTTTTAAAATTTATTGACTTTTAATAGTGTTTAACTCATCCTCTCAAAACTGGCAGGGACGCCTTATTGGAAGACCCAAGGGTTAAAAGTACTTAAGTCACATTGTTGTAAAAATCAATCTAAACTATGACCTTTTCTTATCCTGTTTAGCAAAGTATACTGCAGAAATTGGATCACATTAAAATGTGCCTCAGTCCCTCATTTAGCCAAGACAAAATATGAAAATGATCACCTTTTATCGATGAAAAGGATATTTTATCTTGCTTATCTCAAATGTGTATTTTGTGATTTAAGTATATTTTTTCTCTCGAGCTGATGACTTTACCATTTTCATGGTGAATGCCCCAGATACAACAAAGTCAATTTCATATGCTCTTAAACTTCATTTTAATAAAATATTTGATTATTTGTGCTGCAGTTAACACCTGAACCATCAAATGTGTAAAACATTTTACAGAAAGATAGAGAGCAAAACTTGATGTATCATCCATTTGTTATCTTCAAACAGCTGAGGTTGTCAGACTTAAAGAAAGCGGTCAGTGTTGCCGTGTTCAACCAAACTGTGGTTGGGCTGCCGGCTGCTTTTGCCATCTACTACATGATGAAGTGGCGCGGCTGCTCGTGTTCTCCCAATGACCTCCCGACCTTTCACTGGGCTGTGTTTGAGTTGACCGTTTTCACACTCATTGAAGAGATTTGCTTCTACTACTCACACAGGTGAATAACTCCAACAAAATAAATCTGACGTGTAGAGCTCAGTTGAAAATCATAAGGGGTCTTCACAAAGGATTAGCTTGTGTATTCTTCACCCCTCTCTCTCCCCCTATTACACTTGTTATTGGTTTATTTTATGAATAAGAGGAAATACTGTTTTTGATGTTTGTTTGAGCAGTTCAAATCTCTTTCGCAACTTTATAGAAGCTACTAAGGGAATTAATGAAAGGGAAAAAATAATTTAAGTTTGTTTTTACTGGCTTACAAAATGGGAAAAAAAATGATCTGACATGTTATTTTTCCCTTAATAATATCAAATGATACTGATATGAATTAACAGATCCAGTTAGAGCTGGACACGTAACTAGCTGTGCGTCATTTCAGAATATATATATATATATATATATATATATATATATATACATTTTTAATGCTGTTTTCCCTGCATCAAGCCCCCTGTCATTTTTAATACCCTGTGTATCGCTATTAAACAGTATGAATCTCTCTACAGGTTACTTCACCACCCAAGACTGTACAGATTCATCCACAAGAGACACCATGAGTGGACAGCTCCCATCAGTATCGTCTCCATCTACGCCCACCCACTGGAACACATCGTCAGCAACATGCTGCCGTCCGCTCTGGGGCCCATCCTGATGGGATCGCATCTGGCAACCGCCTGGATGTTTTGGGCCCTGGTCCTGTTATCTACCACCGTGGCCCACTGTGGATATCATCTTCCTTTTCTTCCCTCCCCAGAGGCCCACGACTACCATCATCTCAAGTGAGTGCATTTAAAGGTTGTGATCAGAGCTTTATTAAGCCATCACATTTCGCATTACTATTTACACTATGAAAAGTAAATGGCCCTATGAAGAAAAGTTGAGAAGTCTCTATGAAATAGTTAGTGTACGATCAATAACCAAATTTACAATACAATGCTGGAGTTTGGTTTGATCAATTTTAATAAAAAATAATCTCTTCCCTTCTGATAATCTGTGTCAAAAGCTTGTTTGTTTTCAAACATCATTATTAAAATAAAAAAATTTCTCACATCTAAAAGTAAACATTATTTTAAAAAACCAGTAATTTAGTTTGAAAATGGGTTTGTCAGAGGAGTTCCTCACCCTTAAGGATAAAACTTGAAAAACTGTCGCTCAGCTCATATTTTTATTTAGTGAATTAGAAAAAGAATGATAGATTGGTCCCTTTGGACCTAATGAATATCCTGGTAATATTATCAACATACCAGATAGCCGCTTCATTTGTAAAAAAAATATTTGAATTATTCAGGTTCAACCAAAACTTTGGAGTGCTTGGTGTCCTTGACCGTCTCCACGGCACAGATGCCCAGTTTCGTGCTTCGCTTGCATATCAGCGCCACTTCCTGCTTCTGTCCACTGTCCCGGTGTCACAACAAGTGCCGGAGCCATCAAAGAAAAAGTCAGAATAACATTTTTGAGGATAGCTCATCGCCCTTGAGATGCTACCATTCAAAAACAAAAATCTCGTCAAATTCTATTGCTGGTCAACTGTATTTAATTACAAGTTCAGGAAGAACAAGTTTAAATGATGACAATGTTCTATAATTTTTTTTAAAAACTCAGAAACATTCAGCTGTAAATGTCTACTGAATGTCATGCATTATTTTATTATGCTTTTTGCTTTCAAGAATTATTATGTGATAAATAATGTATGTTGTAAAGAGACTAAAGCTGCTAAAGTGGTTTAAGTTGAATTTTTTAAAGTTTTTCTAAAACCCTGAAATGGATTATGTGGGCTAAGTATGATGTTGTAAATTTTGAATTTTATTTAAACAAATTTTGCTAACAAACAATTTTTCATCCTATCCACCTAATTCTAGTTTTAAATTTTGATGGATAACTAAAATCTGAGCTTGACATTATTTTGATTTATTAATCGACCATTCATCTGTGATCCTTGATACAGTATCTGAAGACTTATTATGTGCGGAGCATTGAACTGGAGCAGTGTTTCTCAACCTTTCTAGTGCCGCGACCCCTTAATACAGTTTCTCGTGCCATGGCGACCCCCCAGCCACACAATTATTTTCGTTGCTACTTCATAGCTGTAAGGATATATGTTTTCAGATGGTCTTAGGTGGCCCCTGGAAAAGGGTCTCGCTGAACTGGAGGAATATGTTCCTTTTTTTTCCACTTCTTTTCGGAATTTAAAAAAAATCGATTGAGAATCACTGCATTGAAGCAGGTTGTGTTGACATATCCCCAAGTATCTCATCTCAGGTAAAACCCTGATGAACATTTATTCATTTAAAAAAACAACAGAAGAAAACTAACAAAAAACAAAAAAAGCCAGAAAACTAAAAAAAAAAGAAAAGAGGAGGATAGATTTATTTTCTTTATTTAAAACAAGTTTGGACATTCTTTCCATTTGTTATAATTGTTTAATGTTTGAAGGAAAATTAAATTTAGATTAAAACAGATCGTTGCATTATATTTATGGGAGGGGTTGTACACAGCAGGCTGAGAATAAAGCTCAAAGTTATCCCCTGCTGACTGTGTATAAGGCTTAGCGTTATTTCCAGCCGATATATAGTTTACTACCACTAGCAATTTGAAAAAAAAAGGGTAGAAAAATTATGGGCTGTATTGAATCTATATAATTTTTTGTAATTTTAAAAGAGTTCATTATGATAGCATCATCATTATTCTACCCAGTCAACTGGGAATGACGGTCAACGTTATTCCCAGCCGACTGTGAATAACTCCATTGATTTAATGGGTTGAAAAATTTAAAATAAAGAATTAATGGGACAACAATTAAAAACTTAATGGCATATCAAATTTTAAATGGATGATTAAATGAGCTCTTCTTTTATAAAATTGTTTCAATTTGTGTGGTGGTTGGTTAAAGAATAGCGCTATGAACAAAAAATCATCTCCTGGTTGAAATGTGTTTAAATATTGGATACAAAGTAGCCTAACCAATATAGTTTGTAAAATTTATTTTATTTGAGTTGAAGAAATCAAATAATAGTCAATCAATATTACAAATTATTTTATCATTACTAAAAAATAGTTTAGAAATGGCTGGGTACCTATGTTATTGTTTCATAAATAATAAAAGTCTTTCTTTCATAACATCAAAATTTACCTGCAAATGGTCTCACAAATAATTTTGTAAAATAAAACTGCACATTTGTTCTTCTGGGCACTTGGTCTGTTATCTGATGTGTCACAATGTCCTGGAAAGTTTCTCATAGAACTTCAAATCTCTCATCTTAAATTGTTTTACAATGCTTGAAAGGAGAGTTCTTTTTCTTGCTTTTTATGTCACTCTCAGGGTAAAAGATACTGCAAATCCATTGTTATAAAATATTATTGATTCAAATTCTTTTCTTTACCTACCAATTTTTGTTCAGTTTTGTAAAATTTCAAAAATTAAAAGCATATTTTGTATTTATCTTTAGTTGTATGAACATTGATTATTCACCTCTTTATTGATCAAAACATTGCTTCTTATAATATTTAAAGTGAGTTAGTAAAACAAATGTGATTTTGAAAAATTATACAACTAATATCTTTCAGTTTTTAAAAATATTGATTCAATCTTCTGATTAGCTTTCAGCCTGTGAAGATGATTCATTGAAATGAAGCGACTTTGAATGTTGACACTGAATTTTGCTTTGGAAGCATTTTTAAAAAAATTATTACTTTTTTTAAAAACATGCTCTTAATTACTCATATATTTTTTTACAGTCAATTATCAGTTTGTTCATATCAATCTCCTCTTGTTTCAGAGCTCTCTTAAAAAAAAAAAAAATGGTTTTCTGTTTCTTTGTATAAAATAATGAACCTAATATATATGTTGTTTGTAAGTAAATCAAAGCCAAAACAATGCACTTTTAATATCTCTCTGCATATTTTTTTTCATTAATCTGACTCATTTTTAAAATAAGTTTATATGCTGATACCATTGTCTATATTGAATTTTAAAAGACAATTTAATTTAAGCGAATCCCACAAACAAATCTCTCAAATTGATAAAATAAGCAATTTCATCTTTTGTATAATTTTTTTTACTAACATTGATTAATCTTGTGTTAAGTTGAGGTGATTGATAGTCATAGGTGATGGTAATTAAACTAACATTGGTTGCAGTCAAATTTGAATAGTTAACTCATTATTTTAACAATACTATTTACAAATTAAAATCAAAACTGTTACTGAATAAAAGGAATTATTTTAAACATTTGTCCATTGAAAATATTTTATTAGCAATTTATTAAAAACTCTATGAACCTCAGCTACTTTAAGATACAGAACAATTATTCTAGAAAATAATGAAGTCATGTGAATATAAGTAATGAGCAGAGTTCTAATATGATAACAATGATACCAACTGGGGGCTGGATGGGCCGAATGGTCTAACCTGAGCAATTCTCAAGTTGGTTGGTCTGGAGCTCAAGCAAAAACATCACCAGCACCCTGGGTGGGGAAATTAAGCTTTTATGCAATGCTATCAAATTTGAAATCTGGCTTAATATAAGAAAGAAGATATTTGTTTCTGGAATGCAACATTTTAATTTTATGGAATCCTCTTGTTTGGGTTGTGGTGTTGAATGATGTGCTTGATAAAACATTTAAAAAAAATTAAAATATTAAAATTGATAACACTAAGTAAATAACATCTGACGTACTGTTATGAATTTGCGGAATATTTTTTTAAGCTATTCCAAATACTTTTTTCAATAATCGGCTGTAATTAATTGTCAAGTAAAAACACCCTTTTTAAATTGCGAGATTGCAAGCTTTTATAAATTTCTGTCAAAAGAAGTTAACAGCTGACTTTTTGGAAAGTTGCCAGATCCGGAGCGACACATCTTGAAAGATGACGGGCAAATTATGTTGTTTCTAAAAAGCCAACAGACCCATCACTAGTGTTTCCCACTGCTCCCTCTAAATTTTCACCTCTTAGTTTTTACATGACAGGAGGCCACTTTTAGTTTGTCTGTGTTTACTGGTTTAAATATTTGTTATGCAAGTTGTATCATTATAAAAATTATCTGATGGTCAGTTTGGTAAATAAAATTTAAAAAAAAATAATAATAATTAGTCCTTCTGATTAAAACCAAAAGCTGCAAACCAGTTTTTTGTATTAACTATAGTGTTTTTAGAACAGATTAACTGTAGTGTTTTTAGAACAGATTAACTGTAGTGTTTTTAGAACAGATTAACTGTAGTGTTTTTAGAACAGATTAACTGTAGTGTTTTTAGAACAGATTAACTGTAGTGTTTTTAGAACAGATTAACTATAGTGTTTTTAGAACAGATTAACTGTAGTGTTTTTAGAACAGATTAACTGTAATGTTTAGATTAACTGTAGTGTTTTTAGAACAGATTAACTGCAGTGTTTTTAAAACAGATTAACTTCAAGTGTTTTTAGAACAGATTAACTGTAGTGTTTTTAGAACAGATTAACTACAAGTGTTTTTAGAACAGATTAACTACAAGTGTTTTTAGAACGGATAAACTATGGTGTTTTTAGAACAAGTAATTTTAGAACAGATTAGCTACAAATGTTTTTAGAACAGATAAACTACAAGTGTCTTTAGGACAGATTAACTATAGTTGCTAGAACAGATTTTCTAATATAGAATCAGAGAAATATCCACAGAGATGACCAAAAACCATGACACAAGACAAGGCGGGGTTCAGTGTCTGTGGTAGGCACACCATTTATTCATTGTACATACAAATGAATGGAAATAGGCCAATGCTAAAAATGACAACATTCTTTGAACAATATTTTTTGTCTTTAAATAATGTGGTTACATGAACAACAGGACAATGCTAGTCGTTGACAACAGAGTTGGGTCTCATCATTCATTGCTCATATAATCAATCAATGGGAATATTTGATTTCATCTCTCCTTTCCATGTTAAGTCAGACTTTGGAGTTTATTTCAAGTTTTGGAAACGAGTAATCAAACAATCATTTATACAAGATGCTTCAGTTACTTTAAAAAGTTAATTTGATTGAAGTTTATAAAATTATTTTGTTATTAACATAATGAGAAACATTGCCGTGAAAATAAATAAAATTTAAAAGTAATTTACGTTATTCAAATATGTGTAGTTATTTATTCGTAGCTGCAAAGGGAGAATGTTTTTAACTTCAATGCCTTTTGGAAAAATCACTTCAGCACTGGATAGAACATTCCATTCATGTTCTTTGTAAAAATCACATCTATCAAATTGATACTTATTTTCCAGCCAAAAAATAAAGAACATTTATTATTTACATCACAGTGTGTTACAAATATAAAGTGGCTTCTTGGCTGATTATATACATGTTACTTACAGGACAGTATTATTTTTAAATAAATGAGAGGTGGAGTGGCGTGAATCACATTGAAATACAAAAATGCTGACATGGCAGCTTTGGAAGGATTTCAAAACATGCCTGTGAGTTACTGTCCTTCAAAGGACTAACAGATTTATTATCTTAACTATTTCACTTAGGCAAATATAACTAGACTTTATTTTGTTTTTTAAAACACCAGATCTAAAGCATTCAGCAAGTTTTTCAATTTTTCAAATGTCTTGAAAAATGAGGAATAATTATTATGTCTTCTTATATTTTAAGATCAATTTTGAAGGATATCATTGGTGGATCCTAAACTGTTGTAAACTAAAAATATTATTGATGGACACATTTTTCAGTACAAATTCCAAACATTCCATAGACTTGACTCACTGTTCTCTTACTTAATCTCATTTCACATTGAAATTAAAACTAATTACACAGTAACTTTACTTTATGATTCTTTCCAACAATTATACTAAATATTACATAGGATGTGTTTCATCTCATCTAAAGGTAATGCCTGTAGTAAAAAGTAAACATTTTATTTGTTTAATCTAAAGTGTAAGCAAGCTTCCAGCTCACAACTTGAAGCTTCAGGATAAAGGCAACAAATTTCAAATATGACGATTTTATAAGTATTAATGATGCTTTTAGGAAGAGAACAATAATAGCTTTACTAAATCAGAGTAAAATTAAAATACTCACAAAATTAGAAATTTGCAACACAATCCAAGGGTCAAATTGATCTAGGCCTAAGAGTCACATTTAATCTAGCACCCTAGGAGTCACATTTAATCTGACATCCTAGGAGTTACATATAATCTAGCACCATAGGAGTCACATATAATCTAGCACCCTAGGAGTCAAATATAATCTAGCACCCTAGGAGTCAAATATAATCTAGCACCCTAGGAGTCATAAAAAAAAATCACTGAGAGTGTAAAGCAATTTTAATTTTGAAACTATGCAAATAAATGGTAATTTAAAAAAAAATCCATTTACTATAACAACGGGGAAAAAAAACTATATTCAATACACATTATTTTTTAAGATACTTTAATATGCAACAATGCAAGAAATATAAACTACTGCACTCACTAACCAGCAATACCATGTTATTTGTTATTCCAGTAAAGCTATATCAGTAAGTTATTTGTTTATTAGCTTTCACACAGTACTTTTAATTTGGGATACAAAAAAAACATTTAAACTCACTGATAAATCTTACATGGGTCAGAAAATCAAATGTGGAAAATTTTGCTCTCTATTGCAGGACAATCACTATATTAGCATAACTGATTTCATCAGGCTTCTTGGTTCTTTCATACACTCATTTGAATATAATTTAAACACATTCTACCACTTATGCTTGGGCAACATTCACAAAGTAATCTATGTACAGCTTTTCCTTAAATTCCATTGGCCAACAGAGGTTTTGGTAATCACCTCCAGCCACTGAACTCTATAAATGCTGGAGAGGTATCTATATCATGAACAAAAAAAACAACACATCTCAATGTTACAAATGTACATCAATTTACAAAACTATACACATTATCAGTGCCAACATGCATGTTTATACGTCTGTGTACAGAAGAATTACTCCTGTGGTATAAGATCTGGACAGTTTAAGTTGAAATTTACATTTTAAAAAATATACAATATTCCTCAGTCTTTTGTTGATTTCATCTAAAGATTAGATGTTAAAAAAAAAAATTATACACGGAATGTGTTTTTTTTTAGTTGTTTGACCATATGTATTGCATAAATATCAAAATACACAAACTGTTGCATAAAAGTGGTTTCACTCTTTGGTTGTAGTGGTAGTGGTCTACTTCTATGCTTCATTGTGGTCAGGTATGCTCTTCTTCAACTCAACAATCTGCTCCCCGCCAAGAGTGATCTTGTCATCCAGTTCTTGCAGGTCAATTGTCAGTTTAGATTTCATCTTGATGTAGTGAGTGTAGTCCGAAAACTCCGCTTCGTTCAGACGATCTTGTAGAATCTGTGACAGTTGTTCACTCCGTTTGTCTATATCATCTTTTAACAGCTTGGCTTCTTCGTGTTTAGCAGAAAGCCTCTCTCTCTTGTCAACTGTCATTTTCTGATGGTGAAGAAAATGAAGGTATTTATAAAGTGATTTCTACTTTGTACATGGAGTAAATACATTTTTTATAGTTCTAGCAATCAACTCCACCAAAATAAATTTGTTGGTATTGAAATGTGATCATGAACAATTTTAAGATACTGTTCAATGATTTGAATGACAAGTTGTGACAAAAGTTTAGTTAGTTAATATTTATTTTAATTCTAGAATCTCAGAAATCATGTAAACACTAAAATATATTTTGTTCCAAAAAAAATAGACCCCAGGTAATGGCATAGATCAGCATTGATGAAACCGATAAACTGGCCTGCCCCCTGCTGACATTGTAGAAAATTAGGGCCTTTCGAGGAACAATTTTACATATTTAGGTCCACTAAATTTTTGTACTTTATCCATAGTCTCGTTTATTCATTTAAATAAAGGATAAAATAAAGTTAAGAAAAGAATAAATTTCATTTAAAGTGATTAATTCCACGTGCCTCATTGGATTAAGACTTACTCTTAGTTTAGCATCTGCGTCTGGAGACAAGGCCTGCACTGCATTTTCTGCCCTGGCCAACTGACCCGAAAGGTTAAGAAGCAGCCGGACAATCTTTTCAAGGTCATCTATGTAGGTCTTGAACTTGTCTTTTTCATTCTGTGTCAGCCAGCCATTGGTGTCTACCAGGTGATGAACCTGTATATTTAAAAAAATTAACTTAATAATACATTTTTTTCTCCAAGTCTTATTCAGCTTAACTTTGTCAAGTTTAAACAATTTATTCTAGGGTTGTAAAATGGGGTTGAAAGGGAAAGATTTTGTGTCCAGATAAGCAGAGCAAGAAAAATAACCCAACCTCATTTTTTTTTTTTAAAACAGAACTGTTAGAAACTTCACAAAAATTAAAATAATACAACAGTAACAACACATAAGGTATTTTGCTGATAAACCTGATATCAAAATACATGTCTGGTTATCACTCTTCAGAGAAGAAAATCATCTTTACATAGCCATACTATTAATAATAATAATGTAAAAACTACTTGTCAGGGTTCAAACTCTCTGTGCCCAACATTTAAAAATAACCCATTTTCCTGACCAACTTTTTAAGATTGTAACCCCTAGGGAATTCAAGGGACCAAACATTTTACCCCAGCTCAATACTACTCACCTGTTTCCCCAGTTCTTCATTCTCTGCTATTTCCTTTTGCAGCAAAAGTTTGGCTTCCTTCAAGATCTCCAATTTCTTGTGGAGTTTATCCATTAGTTCTTCCTACAAATAAAATAACAAAAACAACAAATTATGTACTTGCATTAATCTTGAATCTTGTTTGAAATTTAAGGTGGATACATTTCTGAGAGAACATGTTTGGGTAATGAAATTCATTGCCAACATAATTTATTTTGAGTGGCCCTCAGTTAATTTATTTTAAAATAATGATTAATAAACATAAATGTCATTGCATTTTAATGTTATCTAAAAATTTGCATTTTGCAACCTCCAAATCAGTGAATAATAAATTTTATTTCCTGACCCCAAGATTAATTGAGACTTGTAATGGGTGCTCAGGCCTAAGCCAACTCAGTTAACATACGCCACAAGTTACCTTCTGTTTCATCAGTGTGCTGCTATCATTGATGTCCTTGGTGATATCCTTCCCAACATCTTCATTCCTTCTCAGCTCCATTTCCAGCATGGCCTTGGATGGGGACATCCAGTATTCTTTGGGGAGAGAACCTCTGCTCAAAATAAATATTTAAAAAAATGAACAAGCTATTTATATGATGACCTTGTGCAGCAGATAGAATATAAGTCGTCTAATATTGTTTTATTTTTATCCCATGGATAAAAAGAAAGTGCACCAATTTTTTAAATCTTTTATATTTAACCTCGCTTTTGTTCGTTTTATTCTGGGTTTGTGGCTAAATGTTCAGACAACTATTTAAACCCACTTCCCGTCAACCTATCGAGCTGAAACTTTGGAACAGAGACTCGCTGCTGATGGCAACAAATTAATTAAAATTTTCAGCCCATCCCCATTACCAAAAAAATCAAATTGTCCTGTTCTTCAAGGGGAAGTTGAGGGAAAATATGATGCCACTGAATTCACGAAATAAAATTCACGATAACTGCACAAAATGGGATTCTTTAATAATATTTTTTTTCTTCTGAAATAGTTGGTGAAATAAATATGCGTGTCAAAGCGAGTGCTAATATAACACTAATACAGTTCAGGAGCGTGAAACAAATGTGCTGTTGTGAACCTTGGGGGGGGGGGAAGCATTAATTGTGAACTTGTATGTTTTTTTGGGTCTAATTTCGGCCCCCAACCCCCATTGCTCGATACTACATTTTAATCTTATAAAGCATTTATACGAAAAACTTTTTTTAAAGGGTGGTTTACTTATAGATTTAAACCGCTTTTACTTATAGACTTAGTCGTGAACCACATTTTTTAGCTGTGTACTGTTTCGTGAGCCAGATAGGCTTTTAAAGGTTAAGTACCAAAAAAGATAAAGAACTTGATTACAAATTACTTTAATACACACACATCGCTCATATCAAGTTTCTTTTTTTTAATAAAAATTGTTAAAAATTTCACGGCTCCATGTTGGCTTTCCAATGGATGATGGATGTATGGATGCCATTTTTATTCTGCTTGAGAACCTATTACTACTACTACTTCTACTCAATAAAGGTGCTTAGTTCAAATTCTTGGCTAGTAAACACGCACTGAGAACGTTGTCTCAATATGGTGATGGAAATAGCGTACTTTGAGGAAGAAACTTAAAAAGCTTTTTATCTCATTTTCTCCCATCATAAAGTCACAGTTATCATGTTACAAAAGAATCTCATCGGTATGATACATTTATTTAGGTGTCTACCCCGTCCAATAAATCATCTTCAAACTTTGGCTTGAAGGAACGGCAAATTAATATGTAATGTCGTAACATTGTTTGGTCAGTCCTTGACCCCCCAACCCCATTTTTCTCGAATTTCCCTGCCGGTAGAGGGACACAGTAGCACAGTACTGAGTCAACAAGCACGGAAGGTAAAGGCAAACAACCGCCCTACCAATGGTGCTGGATTATTTTCCTAACCGGGAATGTCCGCACTTGCCGGCAGACGGCTAATGGATAATTGAAATGTCAAAGGTCCAAGCGGTTTTTCCCGGGGGTGACAGGAGATGGCCAGTACAATCGGCCAGAAAATATGTTTAGGAGAAATGGCCGCTACAGATAGCCAGTTATCAAAGCTACCGACAGCCTTAAGACTTAAAAAAACAGGTATGTCAATGCCGCAACGGCAACTGTAAAATGGCCAATGGCTTCCACGCGCTCTTGAACTTTTTTTTTTAATATATGTGCATAAACCACGCTTGTGCCTAGGCTGCCAGTATCCCAGGCTTGTGCCTAGGCTGCCAGTATCCCAGGCTTGTGCCTAGGCTGCCAGTATCCCAGGCTTGTGCCTAGGCTGCCAGTATCCCAGGCTTGTGCCTGAGCTGCCAGTATCCCAGGCTTGTGCCTAGGCTGCCAGTATCCCAGGCTTGTGCATGAGCTGCCAGTATCCCAGGCTTGTGCCTAGGCTGCCAGTATCCCAGGCTTGTGCATGAGCTGCCAGTATCCCAGGCTTGTGCCTAGGCTGCCAGTATCCCAGGCTTGTGCCTGAGCTGCCAGTATCCCAGGCTTGTGCCTAGGCTGCCAGTATCCCAGGCTTGTGCCTGAGCTGCCAGTATCCCAGGCTTGTGCCTAGGCTCCCAGTATCCCAGGCTTGTGCCTAAGTAAAAGGCCCACCAGTACGGGTAGTCCAGGACTTGTCAAAGACGAAATCCTGGACAAGTCAAATCAGACAATGTGCTGTCAACTGCTCCATCATTTAAGTTCATGAATTAGTCTTTCGACAGATCCTTAACAGATTAATTTCCCTTCTATTCCACCCCCCCCCCAAATCGAAACAGGTTTATTTCCCTTCCATTCTAAACAGGTTTATCTAAACAGGTTTACTTCCCTTCCAAACAGGTTTACTTCCCTTCTAAACAGGTTTATTTATCTACTTCGCGTGTGTAGCAACATTGAAAATACAACAATGAAAATTTACATTTGGCC